ACCCACTCGAAACAGCAAAACACCACCTAATTTCGTGCCAAAAATGACGCGAAATCATCTGCAATTGTTCCTGCTGTTCCTGCTGCTAGATTGCTGCTTCTGGTGGTGGTGTGCCTAAACTTGCTTGTCTTTGCTTGCTGCAGCTCCCGGCAGCAAAACACCATGGCCCTAAAGGACGAACCGAGTCCAAAATATACGTTTCCCGGGGCCGGAACGTCCCTTCTGAAATCCTACAAAAAGCTTGCCGCTGCTACTGCCACGGCCGCTGCTCTGGCTGCCGCAGCTCCCGGCAGCAAAGCACCATGGCCCTAAAGGACAAACCGAGTCCAAAATATATGTTTCCCGGGGCCGGAACGTCCCTTCTGAAATCCTACAAAATCCTACAAAAAGCTTGCTGTTGGTGCGGAAATTATCATTTTCCCGCTTTTTAAGAGCCGCTGCTACTGCCACGGCCGCTACTCTAGCTGCTGCCGCAGCTCCCGGCAGCAAAACACCATGGCCCTAAAGGACGAACCGAGTCCAAAATATACATTTCCCGGGGCCGGAACGTCTCTTCTGAAATCTCCTACAAGAAGCTTGCCGCTGCTACTGCCACAGCCGCTGCTCTGGCTGCTGCCGCGCCTCCCGGCAGCAAAACACAATGGCCCTAAAGGACGAACCGAGTCCAAAATGTACGTTTCTTAACGCCACTTCTGAAACCCGACTAAAACTGAGACTTTTCAGCTTGTTACGCAGGTTTGCCACATCTTGCAGCCAACCAGCCCGCCAATCACAAAAGGCATGGCTTTGTACCACAAAGCTTGTTGCTGGTGCGGAAAGTATCATTGTTTTACAATTTTATTAATCAGTTTTTTACCTTACTGCTACTGCTGCTGCTGGACTCACATGCTGCCGCTGCTACTGCCACGGCCGCTGCTCTGGCTGCTGCTGCAGCTCCCGGCAGCAAAACACCATGGCCCTAAAGGACGAACCGAGTCCAAAATATACGTTTCCCGGGGCCGGAACGTCCCTTCTGAAATCCTACAAAAAGCTTGCCGCTGCTACTGCCACGGCCGCTGCTCTGGCTGCTGCCGCAGCTCCCGGCAGCAAAACACCATAGCCCTAAAGGACAAACCGAGTCCAAAATATATGTTTCCCGGGGCCGGAACGCCCCTTCTGAAATCCTACAAAATCCTACAAAAAGCTTGCTGTTGGTGCGGAAATTATCATTTTCCCGCTTTTTAAGAGCCGCTGCCACTGGCCACGGCCGCTGCTCTTGCTGCTGCTGCAGCTCCCGGCAGCAAAACACGATGGCCCTAAAGCACGAACCGAGTCCAAAATATACGTTTCCCGGGGCGGAACGTCCCTTCTGAAATCTCCTACAAGAAGCTTGCCGCTGCTACTGCCACAGCCGCTGCTCTGGCTGCTGCCGCACCTCCCGGCAGCAAAACACAATGGCCCTAAAGAACACTGCTGCTGCTGCTGCTGCTCTTGCTGTTCCTGCTGCTGTATTGAAGCTGCATCTGCTGCTGCTGCTTCTGGTGGTGGTGATGCTGGTGCTCGCATCTGCTGATGCTGCTGCTGCTCCTGCCGTGCCATGAACCAACCTCTAAGGCAAGAAACCAACAGCCAGACATCTTTTTCGAAACCCACTCGAAACAGCAAAACACCACCTAATTTCGTGCCAAAAATGACTCGAAATCATCTGCAATTGTTCCTGCTGTTCCTGCTGCTAGATTGCTGCTTCTGGTGGTGGTGTGCCTAAACTTGCTTGTCTTTGCTTGCTGCAGCTCCCGGCAGCAAAACACCATGGCCCTAAAGGACGAACCGAGTCCAAAATATACGTTTCCCGGGGCCGGAACGTCCCTTCTGAAATCCTACAAAAAGCTTGCCGCTGCTACTGCCACGGCCGCTGCTCTGGCTGCCGCAGCTCCCGGCAGCAAAACACCATGGCCCTAAAGGACAAACCGAGTCCAAAATATATGTTTCCCGGGGCCGGAACGTCCCTTCTGAAATCCTACAAAATCCTACAAAAAGCTTGCTGTTGGTGCGGAAATTATCATTTTCCCGCTTTTTAAGAGCCGCTGCTACTGCCACGGCCGCTACTCTAGCTGCTGCCGCAGCTCCCGGCAGCAAAACACCATGGCCCTAAAGGACGAACCGAGTCCAAAATATACATTTCCCGGGGCCGGAACGTCTCTTCTGAAATCTCCCGCAAGAAGCTTGCCGCTGCTACTGCCACAGCCGCTGCTCTGGCTGCTGCCGCGCCTCCCGGCAGCAAAACACAATGGCCCTAAAGGACGAACCGAGTCCAAAATGTACGTTTCTTAACGCCACTTCTGAAACCCGACTAAAACTGAGACTTTTCAGCTTGTTACGCAGGTTTGCCACATCTTGCAGCCAACCAGCCCGCCAATCACAAAAGGCATGGCTTTGTACCACATGCGCAACGGCAAAACACCACCTAATTTCGTGCCCCCTTCGCCACAGCAAAACAGCACCTAATTGCGTGCCGAAACCGTGCTCAAACTTGCCCACAAAAACTGCCTAACGTCTCTTCTGAATTCCTAGAAAAAATCTCTTTTTCTGTCTCCTGCAGCTGTTGTTTGGGCAAAACAGCACCTAATTGCGTGCCGAAACCGTGCTCAAACTTACCCACAAAAGCTGCCTAACGTCCCTTCTGAATTCCCTGCTGGTGTCTGCTGCTGCCTGCTGCTGCCTGCGGCTGCCTGCTGCCTGCTGCCTGCTGCTGCCTGCTGCTCCCTGCTGCTGCCTGCTGCCTAAAGGGTCGAATGTCTTATTCCCTGGCGCGCTCCCCCTTGCGTCTGCCGGGGTCGGCGGACATCATTTTTAGACAAAGCCCACATATATCCGCAGCCATGACGGCACTCAGGTACCTTCCTGGACAACGTGAAAGTGAAGGTGCCCTTTGCCACTGCGCGTCTTGGCTGATCCCATTGGGCAGGAAATAATCGCCTGGGTGACTCGTCATGTCATGAATTTGCTTCTGATTTCTGGTCAAAAATGTGGTTCCCCATAGCAGTTTTGGATGAGTTTTGAGGATGTCCACATTTCCACATTTTTGTTCAAAATCAAATGTCCACATTGTTAGGGTTTTTTTCCGCATTTCCAATAGTACACCATTGTTTTTGGGGGATGTCAAACTGTCACCTCATGAATGATGTAGTTTTGGATGCACAAAAACGGTAGGTCGTTTTCAAGTTAGAGCCGAGGCACATTCGTCTCTACCTCTCGACCCCTGGAGGCACATCTCAGCCATTCATGGAGTGGTAATAGTAACTGTGTTCACCAGAACTGAGTGTTTTTTGTTCCAGACTCAGTCACTAAATCATCTACGCTTGATCTATGGTTGATACATACATACATATCTTGCATTATATTATATTATATATTATTATATTATATATGTAATATACTGTATATATAGATATATGGTTGAGGTGTGTGATTTCTGTTTTGCACCAAATCCAATAAAGTGCGACTAAGAAATCAACATGACATGGGCATCTCGCTTAGCACGGGGATGATAGTCATAGCTGGTGTAACCAACAGATCCCCAGTCAACCAATGTTGTTGGTAAATGCATCCGAGTGTTGTTGATTTGATTGATTAGGTAATTATCATTAATTTATGTTAATGTTTGTTGTTTTTTTGAGCCCTCCACATATATCCACTTACAATTTTGCGCGTGATTCCATGCTGTTGATCAAGTTTTTGCTGGTGAAAAATCCCGGTGTTTCATCATGAAATCTCAAGTTTTGGATGAATCACCGGGATTTTGGATGAATCCCCTATAGTTTTGGATGAATCACCCTATAATAGTTTGCTATTTTCAAATTGGACCATAATATTACAACATGGTGATAATTATAATATGGTTCATATTGGATTATCCATATTGTTCAAATCCCCTTTATTTTGTTCTCATGGTGAAATCCACATTGTTTGACCATGAAATCATGACGGAGCCAGGCACCGACTCGTCGAGGTGCCACGGTTTGATGGCCATCGTTATTTTAGGTCGCCAACTAATGAGTTGTTCAACATGGATATCCCATGTTTCTCAGTTTCAAAGCCATCATGGTTTGATGGTTTGATGGTTCGAATTGGTTGGAACTTTGAACCAATTTCTTGATCGCATGCTCAATTTATATATATTTATACAAGGTACTATCACACCAACATTGGCGATTGGAGTGAAATCATGAACGTAGGAAGAGAACTGTCACTGACAAACCAAGCCTGACACCAACAGAACATATATGATATGTCCAATGATTTTACGCTGTAATGTCATGATGCATATGATGATGCCATGTTTTCTGCGTATCCTTTGACCCAAACTGTTGGGATCATCCCAAAGTGTCAGGAGCACTTCGTTGGGACCTCAGAGATAGCAGCGAAATCCCTCCGATCACCCCATGCCGGGATTCTGGATCCAAATTCTCCACCCGGAGTTAACTCCAACCCCCAAACATCACCCCAACGCCCATCCAACGCCCATCCAACGCCCAAAACATCCGGTTTTCATCCTCCTGAAGCCCATTTTATATCATGTTATATATTTACTAAAAGATATCATGGTAAGTTATGGTAAGTTCACTTAGTTCACCCCTTCCCATCTCAACCAAATTATCTAATCCGATCCATCCTGATCAACATACCATCCCACCCATCCATCCCCAAGTTACCATCCCAATAGTGAAATCCCGCGGACATGGAAATCCCATTGAAATCCCAATAAATTCACCAGGCTTTTAGCAGCCACATAGGGATACAAAGACTCATTAACCCCAATCCTAACTTGATATTTATCTATCTATCTATATCTATCTAGCTATCTATCTATCTATCTAATCTAATCTAATCTAAATCTAATCTAATCTAATCTAATCTATCTATCTAGTTATCTATATATTTCATATAGTATGTATCCACCACAACTAACCATTTGCTTCCGACTTCCCGCAGTGAGGCCCATCCTCTTCAAACCCGTCGAGATGCGGCTGGTGGACACCTGGGGTCGCCTCGAAGGTCTCTTGGAGGAGCAGAACTTCAGCGCGGAGGAGCTCACCGAGAGCCTTGGACGGCTGGGGCTGGGGGGTTGGGGCTGGTGGGGTTGGGGATGGGGGGGACTGGGGATGGGGGGCTGGGGGTGATGAATATGAAGCACCATACTTTTGAGATGTGGGTTTTTTTTGGACTTGAGATGAAGTGGAATTGGATGATCTAGGATCAGTTTTTTGGAGATGACAGAGTCGAAAGCCGTTGTTGCGTGTGCTAGAAATTGTGGAAGTTGCGTTCACCATAATCCTTTGTTTGAAGAGAAACCCAAATGGACGTTTGTGGCAGGACTCAGGACCAAAATTGAGCTGGTTCCATTCACATCATCAATTTTGATTGATTGGCTCCCGAACCCCCATTCTTCTGGCTATCCATGACGATCTTATGCTTATAGTCAACAAACATGTGTGTCCGTGTATGTATAGAGTGATTCACCATATTATGTCTTCAACAAACATGTGGTAATTAACATGGATGAACCATAAACATATGTTTAGTTTGGACTTTCAACTTCAGTACTTCTGAAAGCCCCAAGTCGTGGTCCCTGCTTTCTCTGCTCAGGATGGGATTCATTCGCCCTGATGCCTTGCGTGAGCTGATTTCCTCACTCTTCAACTCAGCGCCTTGGTCGTCGTTGAGATCACTCTTTGGCGGTTTCTCAAGTCATGGGGGATCCCCGAGTCACCATGGTTGTTTCAATACTAAGTCAGGGTCATCCATGACGACTGGATAGCTCCATGACCTTGGAAACCTCCAGTTGGTTGTGATTCACAGATTGGGCCCTCTTGAGGATGATGTGATATGGTATGATGCAAATCGATGTTTGACCATGATATTTCATAATAATATATAATGACCATACATATAATGACATGCGATATTGTTTGGGATATGGTTCGGAAGTGCCTGAGGATGATGATATACCCTGCGCACAGTTGAACCCAATTAAACATTGGAACCAATAGCAACCAAGACCAGCAATGCCCTCAGGAAACCTGGTCACGGATGGCTGATGTCACCAACAAAATGAGCCATAGCAACCATCCAACACGGTGATAGGACCCAGCAATGTAGATGTGCTTCCAAAAAAGACATGTACGTCTTGATTTCTTTAGGAGATTTGCCTATATATATATATATATAGTTTATGATATATATATATTACTTTATATATATATATATATACATATATATATATAATGGATCCTATCATGTGCAGGTTTGGGTTGTAGTACCTGAATGTGTTCACATTGGCATGATATTGGAGTGTTCATTATCTGAGATACACAATGATACACAGCCTGATGGGTTGCACATGGTTGCACTGCCAACTTGTAGGAACAGATGAATGTAATACCCCTTGTACTCTGGGATTTTTGAATCCCAAACTGGTAGAGGTATAGTTATACTTTGCATATCTTGGGAATGACCAGTGGGCCCTACTACCTGAGGTCATGGAAGCACCTTGGGAAAACGTTGTGCAAACCGTGGCACAGGCGGTCCGTTGGATGCTATATTTGTATAATCTATATATATACATATAGATGCATATATAAGATATGCATATCACATTGTTTTACATATCTTACCGTATCTTGCCAGATAAGTATTAAGCTAAAGGATCACCTCAGTCAAGCCCAATGTCTGCCATATAAAGCGAAGAAACACCACTCTGTATAGCTCATGTGTTGAAGTAAATGCTGATCCTTGCGCGACTTTGCTGACCAAATACAGTCATTCAGATAGGTTGGTTGGGTAGTCTCAAACGTGCCCAGAGATAAACATGACCCTTTGGTAATTTAACAATATAGTTTTAAAAACACGGCCCATTTATAGTTTATTTCACCTATTTATTTTAATGGTGATTTTGCAGTTCGCTATGGTCGCTATGTAACTTGCTCCGTTGGTGGTTGCAGGTTCCACGGAATCGCTCGCAGGTGGCCATGGGCCAGGGTATGACAGAAGCAAACATGACGAATATCACGACATGCTAAGTTTGGTGAATATGACATAATATGACCATAGAGATGTAGTACGATCAATTATTGACAGATTTTTTTTGTAATACGTATTACACTATAGATCTTATGTTCATCGCTGTCAACCCCGGATTCATAACCGCTGGGCTGTTTAGTTGCAAGGTACCATTTGTTTGTGCAGGTTGTCACTATTTGGAGGGGAACCTCCCAATTCACAGACCAGGGTTTATTTTGAAATTTTCAATGAACCAGGCTTTTTCAAATTACCACACCAGATTATCGCAAAACATGCGGTAATTACTTGCCTCATTTTGAACAAGCGGGTTTAGTCCTGATCATGTTGAAACCCGGGGCACAAGTGATACCTGAAACTGCATCCGTCTGCCCGTTTCTGCCAGGTGCCAAAGGCCATGACTGAGGCGAAGCGGAGCAGCAGAGCTGTTTTTTGTTCAGATCTCACGGCTCGATTGTCTCAATTTAGATTGAAGAATCAGTGAGGATAATGGGGAGGAACACTGGCGATTAGCCAATTCACATCCCCATTTTTGGATTTCCACTGCTAAATGGTTGCACAACCCCATCCTTCAATTCACAGGAGGATCAATTCACGGTTTATTTTTCCGTATGTATCTGGTTGTCAGGATTCACATAGCCGACATAGCCAATTCATGGCAGTTACAGTTACAGTCAAACAAAACGGCGGGATTTAAGCAATCATGGCATGTATATATGGATTTGTCCAGAAATGGGGCACATCCACAAACTTGCAATTTCACGTTCCAGTCGAAAAATAATCCATATAAGAAACCCAAATTCGCTTCTTCCAGTCATTGAAAACCATTTAATGAGGAAATATGTGCGCTTTGGATCGCTTTAGCATAATCTAATCAAGCAATGGAAAATCCTCATTTTCACCATAAGAAATCATCCATTAAATATTGGACGGACGGATATTTCCGGTAAATGTTCCCATTTAAATGTTGGCTTCCCAACGGAAAAGCACTTGACAAATTGTCTGTTACCCTCTGATAATTTAACATAACTATGGAAAGATCCACCATTTTCAATGGGAAAATCCACTATTTCTATGGTCATTTTCAATAGCTATTTTGACATAACCAGAGGGTATCCCATGGTTTTCCAGATCAAATCGTCTTTTGTCGCTGTTCAAAATCACCATCGGATGGGTCTACAGGATGGGGCGCCCATGGATCGGCAGCCAAGTGCCACGCCTTCCACAGCATCGGTGGAGAGGAACCACAGCGGAGCACTGCAGGCATGGCTGCCGGTGCGGTTGCAGCGGCGCGAGTTTGGGGGTGCGAAAAAACATGACTTGGACAAGAAAAAGGTGAGAAACATAATATATGGGTTGAATGGGTTGTCTAAAAAATGGGCTAATTACCACCCGAAGTTGACGGTTTATCCAAGGTTTAGTTTATCCAATGTTTATCAATGTTTTCTGAATTGGAATGGCACGTTTGGATCTTTTTGGTGGTATAGGCCTTTTTCTGGTATAGATCCATATCGCATATATATATATATATACAATTATATACATTCTATATTTCTCTCTTATGAGATATGTGGATTGGATTGCACTCAAAATGTAAAATTAACATAAGGTGAACAATTACTGAAAATACATAAAAATAAGGGGAGCTGACGAAGATGCTTTAACAAACAACTTGTGATTTCATTTCATGTAACAAAAGCGGGGTGAAAACAGAAACCGTGGATTATCTTGGATATGATATATGCAACAATCATAGACAGTTGGGACCCACGCGTTTTCCACAGTAGCAACTCATCTTCGCACTGCAACCTTTGGCATCGCCCCTGAAGCATTCTTGCATTTGGTGGATCAATCCCTATCAATTTCCATGTCCATCAAGTTCCCCTAGTTTCTGGATAAATTTATCAAATTCCTGAGCAGTTGTCACCATGTTCCATGAGTTCCCCCAATTTTTGGTGACTTTTCGATCCCCCCCAGGACGCCGGAGCAGACACCGCCCCAGCGTCCGTGGCCCCCGCGGCGCCCGTGGCGCCTCCGCCTGTCGTGCCAGCGGCCATCCCGGCCCCAGCGGGTGTCCCTGCGGAGCCAGCGATGCTTGTGGAAGGTCAGGGATGGCTGTGACCATGGATGTATTGACCAGACGCATCATACTGGTGGTTTGTTTCAGCGATTAAATTATTAAACATGATGGCTTTGAACTTTGGAGTGCGTTGATTTAACCATCCAAAAGATCGTGATTATGAACTGGTTTTGAACCATGTGAAATGGAGAGTTGAGTATCAAACACTGCGGATGCAAATGGCGATCCTCATTGTGAATCAAACCACGGCAATGGAAATTCAATTTCGGAGGAAAAACATCTAGAAATGGGTGATTTTCCATAGCAGTGCAGTCATTCAGAACGCAGTTTGTTCACTGGGCGGTGTCGAGGGTTGTTGCAGTTTCAACACCTGGTCATTTTTTTCAGGAAAAATATGTACGAATGTCTTCCTGGGCAGAAGGGTTATCCAAGGTCGGCGAAAATAGTGTTTGTTCAGGGCAGAAGAGCAATAAGTTGAAGGTGCGTTTGTCAACCATCTTCAAGATACAACCAGCTATACTTTGTGGTAATATCATCTAGCCGCTACAGAAAATGGTTGATCGACGTCGCAGTTCTGAATCAGTTTTGTTTGCTCGAGGATTTTTTCACACCCAGGTCATCGACGAATTATGCATCCGAAATCAGCGGAAGGTTGGTAGACACATCACAGATGAGTCGTACAACATCCCCCTCTGAAATATATGGTGGGCCAGTTTTTTTGAGTAATCCTTCAGTTAATATACCTTATAAAGTGGAGCCACCCAGGTTCAGGGTCTAATTATAAGGGGGATATTTGAACAATCCAAGGCTCAAAGCCTGTTTTTTCTTAGCACCATCCGCAGGTGCTGCGCCAGCGCTTGGTACCGCGCCCGTAACAATGCCCGAAGCATCCGTGGAGTGGGGAAACCCGGAGCAGCCGTGAGAAGTGAGCACAACAACTATGGTAATGGTAAGCTGAAGAAAAAGCAGGTGGACCAAGAACATCATCTGGGTATGGATCAATACCTATAGATACCATTTTTAGGGGGATGAACATCCATAAATCCCAGCTATTTTGATGTGAACTACAGGGGTACAACTTTTTGACACACTGCCATCTACAAAATCGGCATCTCCAAGGTCTGGGACGCGGCTTTGATTCTGATCGAAGAAACAGATGTGTCTGCAGTTGGGGACTGGAATGGAATCGGTGAAATACTGTGGGAATTCCCACATAAATCCCACTGAGATTTGTGGTTAGTGGTTATTCTGGTTATCCTATGTTGGATATGTTGGTGTTTTGGGGAAAAAATCAAAAAAAACAATCACCAGCCACCAATGCCTTAGACTTCAGCCATGGATCCCCACTGTGTGCGGAATGCGTCGCATGGCTGCTGACTATCACTGCATGTGGGGGGAATCAGTGAGTTCATCCGAAGTTCATCCACTGCCTTGTTTGTGCTCATAGACTACCATAGACTCGTAGATCTCCATATACTTTGGATGGTTGCGAAATCCTGCATCACCAAAAGGATGGTTGAAACCCTATAAATAATGGGATGTTTACCACCTATCAACTGTGCAGGATTTCTTCCATCCACCGTATTTCCCAAGCAGAATGACACTTGTCGCAGGCAAAATCCTATCCCCTTTCAGATTGCCAGTGGGATACCCACGGTCCCAGTAGACTAGCGGATTCCAAGGCTCAGGACAAAGAAGACAAGTGCTGAGCCCCAAGTGAACTCCTTAACTACATGCTACCCAACATGAGCATGATGAACAATATGATGTCTGCCTCCCTCTGGGCTAGAGCCCAAGAAACGCCCAACACTTTTTCACGAAGGCAAGAAAAGCCCATGGTTTCCTGATGTCTCCTGCATCAAATGACCATGGTTTCCCACAAATTTCCCTTGAAATTCCTCCAGTGGATCCCAGTGGCAGTTCAACCAGCAGATCCACCCGGTCGCCATGGACGCCGGATGAAGTGCTTGGTGCTGCTTCCGGTCAGCCGGGTTCAATCTGCTTGTATTTGGATGTTCCTGAGAGATCTCCTGAGAGCATATATGTATAGCAAAGCCCAAAAAGATAGAAAGCCAACATGCAACTACGATAATTAATGCATTACTTGTCTATCTCTTTTTTAGGGTTACTGTATATATATACATAACATAACATGTTTTGGATGTGAACGGAAGGGTACCAGGGTGAATTCTCATGCATCGATGCCAGGATGGAGACATCTTCACAGTGACATGTGGTGTTTCTTGGCTTCAAATCACCGACGGATAGTCAGAGTTCTTGTTGGGTTGAGGCTGAGGGGGTAAATCATGTAGTTCTGACCAGGATATACCCCGCATGAAAAGGAACCCTTTGTTCTTGCCAATGTTCAGTTTGTCCAGAGGACTATTGGGAGATATTTAATGATATTGAGTATTTGGTAAGATCGGAAACATATCGCCAACATTCCAGGGTGCCAAGGAACCGATGCCAACGGCCAGGAATGCCCATGGACTGGATGAATCAATCAATCATTCACCTAAACTGGTCAACATGTTCATGCGAATTTCAGCACAAACTTATCATTGGGTCATTAGGTTGTATGAAGACGTGTTTTTTCTTGTTTTTTTCAACTTGTTCCCCATTTGAAACAACCAAGAGCTGCAGGTTGGTGCATTCTACTGACTTGGCACCTGGCAAATGCAGGCGGGGATGACGTACCTGTCAGGTGTCATCCTCAATGGATGGGATTTTCATATTTTCCCAGTACTGTACAGTGTCATTTTGGCATCATTGGCTCAACTATATCATCATTGTTGCTGGTTTGTTCTCCATGTTTCTTGATGAGTCCAGTTCTGTCGTTGGGATATCCTCCAGGCAGGGTTTCACGTGTCCTGTGGTACACGCGGTGCATATTTTGCCATCCTTCAGTGAACAGTGGCGGATCTTTCTTCCAGATCACTACTGCTTCGGCCATCGTGCCTCAACAAGGCTTTCGCTGGTAATATCATCGTATCCCTCTGTTATCCCTATGTTTGTGTTCATGTTGTGAGCTCCAAAAAGAGATGTTAGTATGGCTCGTCAGGGCCCACATTGACATGTTTGTCAGTCTGCACATCCCCAAATGATTCATATTATGTTTGCATCGTTTTCGTTGCTTGTGTGTTGATTATTGTTGATTTGTATCCCCAAATAAATGTTATAGTAAGTATTTGACAGTTGTCTTCCGGAATATATCCCAACTAATTAGACATATATCAACCATAACCAATGTGGCATAGATGTGCGTGGGAATTGGATAATTTGTTGTTGCTTACATCAGTTCTATCCCGAGATCATTAATTAACTCATATGTGTTCATTTGTTGCTTAGATGATGATATACTATCAGCTATCTGAAAGTTACATCATGATGTTACATCCCTTCAAAATCAAACCATCCAGAAACAATCTCCAGAAACCAATATCCCCAGAAACCAATAATCCCCCATCCAGAAACCAATCATCAACACTCCTCAAACACTAATCAAACATCCAAAAACCAATATCCGCCCCATCCTCCAGTACCGACTCAACGCAGGAACTGCTGAAAAAACCTGGTCCGCACTGGAAGACTTGGCCAAGGGTGGATCGAGTTCCAAGGAGGCTGCAGATGGGTGGCCCGAGGGTTGCCGGGGGGTTTTGAATGGTCAATTTATGTGGAAATATATGGAAATGTATGGACATATTAGACAGTATATCATATATATATAGCATATATTAATAATATAAATTAATAATTATATATATATATATTATTTATTTATGCTATGTATACTAAATGTTAATTGATTATATATGTGTATATATATATATACATGGGTTTGACATTCTTTGGGATTCAGAAATTTGGATTGATTCTCTGGAGAATCCACCAATTGGTTGTCAGCTTTTGTTGTTTGATCTTCGATGTTCCAATGGCGAATAGCTGGATTTAACCAGCAAAACCGGGGCTGTAAAACCAGCCATTTGTATGACACGGGTTGGTCTCACACTGGGATTTACCACGATTTACCTCAAGGTCCATGAAACATTGGAGAATGATGATCAACCATAGGATGGAATGGGGTTCCAAATTTTGGAAGCCCAGATTGAATATGATTGAATCATACTGATACTGTGAAGGATGGTCGTTTTGATTGAGATGCATCCAACTAATATTAAATATAGTTTGATGAGATGGAAGAAACTCGGTCGCGTTGTAACGATATTTCAGCGCACTCAAGATCTTAAGAATCCAATGGGAAACTCCAGAAGCTCTTCCACAACAAAATGTCAACCCAGGGGTCAGTGTCATGGATATATGTTTTTGCCTTTTCCTGGATGTGGTGGCTGTGGCTATACTTGGTGTACCATAGTGGCAAAAATGCAACGACCCAAGCCGGTCATTTCAGCTGAGCTGTGCCGCAGGTGTCCAGTGGCTCCTACTGGCAGCAACGGCTTCTGGAGCTTCATGATCTTCATCCACACCCGGCGCGGTGCCCTATCGTTGGAACGCCATCAGCCAGTGATCAGGGACACCGGTCCCATGGGTGTTGTTACAAGCACAAATGAGGATGGAACACAATGGACCCCCATAAGATGCTGATTTACATTTGAGCATTTGCAGATCTTTCCATAGCATTTCGCTGCAGGAGGCGTCCGCTGTTCTGTCGTGGCTGTACCTGTTCCTTGTTCCAAATGGCTATCGGTTCACCATGAAGTCCCCAACTCCAAAACAGATCTGCTGCGGATGGGCATGGGACCATAATGGAACTGGTTGGTGGTGACTGGAACCATGGAATTTCATGAATTTCCAATCATATTGGGAAGTTCATCATCCCAACTGACGAAGTCCATTATGTTTCAGAGGGGGAGGTCAACCACAAACCAGATTATTATTAACCATCATTAACCCTATATAATAACCATCATCATTAACCATCATAGGTTTGACCATGAATTCCCCAGCAACTCCCAGATATCAGGTTCGGATTGCCATCCGAGACTCGTACAGACCGCTGGCACTGGTCTTCCAGTGCTCCAGCTGCGCTGGTAGAGAGGGACATTGACAAAGCGATCCAAATTGCACGAGATGCGGCGAAGTCGAACTGTTTCCTGGTTGGAAAGTCTGAGAACTTTCAATTTTTTGCCTTACACCTTTAAAAGGAAGCTTATTTTGTGACAGAGTTAGCTTGTAAGTAAGACCTCAATTTCAGCTGGGTACAAATTGGGAGAGACTCAGCGAATTCCTGGGATTTTCTGGAACTTCGGACATTATTCATTTATCTTGTATTTTGTGAACGCCTTCACAAGATTTTTGTGTTGGGTCCAACAATCACCTATCATCACCCCTATGGCTATTCAATGTATGGTCACAACCTCATTTCCCTATATAATTACACATCATACACCCTCAGTATACCCATCTTTTCCCCTCAACATCAGATATTACACTTCAGTTCCTTCACCTTCAATCGCCATTGCCATAAGTTTCATCCATTTTCATCCCAGGTGCCAGGTGTTTGGCCTTGTTGGGCTTCATTTTGTCCATCGCCTATCCTCCCCTGCTGGGTGCCGCTCACCTCGCCGCCACCGGGCGCCTCGTCTTCCTCGGCGAGATCCGCGCGGCCACGGCGGGGCCGCGGCGGCCCCGCGACGTCGGCGCGCCGGACCCGGCGGCGGCGGCCTACGCGGCGGCGGCGGAGATGGGTGATGCCCTGGGGATTTTGGCCGCCAGCTACTTGAGGCAGAAAGGACTCATCAACGAAACTTGGATGATGGAAATGATGTGTATTGACGACGACAATGTGATGATGAATGTGATATAGTGTGATGTTTTTTTTTGTCTCACAAGTTTTTGTTGGTTGGTGGTTGTTGGTAGGTTGATGTTCTTCTTGGGTTGAAAATGGGGATGGTGGTGTTTTGTCTTTTCAACATGTGGTTTGCGTTTTATTCCTCAGGTATTTTCTATTGATTCTATTCGTTGATGCATGTCTTTGCAGAAGCTTTCTCACCAAGGACACCTTGAAAGCTCCAATGGCCAACCAAGCATCCTGCATGGTCTGCAGAACACCAGAGTTGAGGCTGAACAGATCCTCTGCGGCCGGTGACTTGCAGCCATCTTGTGAACGTTTCCCTTGGTTTTGGTGAGTGAACTCTCCCAACTGCCCCAACTGTAGATGGGAAGCAAAGCAACCAGAGATATGATGAGATATGTTTGTTTTGCTCCTTTGCATCCCAAAATTTTATACCAAAGCCTCAGTCCCAAGTAAGGCTTTGGATGCCACCTTTATACTGTAGATGTTTGTAAATATTAGCTACTCTATGGGTCAAAGGTATTGTTGGGACTAATCACATGTCAACATGAGCATCAATTTACATCCATTCACATTCATTTGTCCAGCTATTTTGGTCTGAGAAAAATGTTCTTATATTCTTATCCAGCTGTTTGAGCCATAAAACAACTTGTTCATGTATTCTTATCAACTGTATTTTCCATATCCCATATCCCATTCAAAATCTTCCAACTTCATCCAATCAACTGTTCATAGAATTGGATTAGAATTGGATGATGGGAAAATTTACAGGAAACCCCTATATTTGATGGTAAAAACCATGGTTTCCTGTAGATTTTCCCTTGAACCCATTGAACTGTGAATCAGGTGGGCTCTGCAGCTCTCCGGGGTCGCTGGGTCACTTGGCCACCGAAGTCGTCGAGCAGCTCTCGAAGTCGCCCTGGGGTCCCCTGCCGACGCCGCTCACGGAGCTGCGCCAAGCGCGAACCAAAGATACGGCCTTTGTGGAGTGCCTGGGCTGAGAGCCTACTGGGAGACCCGAAAAACAAGGGGGACATGATTTAAACATGGGGGAAAGCAATATAATGTTGTCGACTGATTAGTGTGAGGGCCCCCCCCTAAACAATTTTAGTCTACTCAACAAGTGATCATTTATTGCGCCCCCCCCTAACTTTTTTTGGAATATTTATGTTTAATTGATTTCAATTTACTTTCAATTGAAATCAATTTACTTTCAATTGATTTCAAATTACTTTCAAATGATTTTCAATTGATTTCATTTACTTTCAATTGATTTCAATTTACTTTCAATTGAAATCAATTGATTTTCAATTGATTTTAATTTACTTTCAATTGATTTCAATTTACTTTCAATTGATTTCAATTGATTTCAATTTACTTTCAATTGATTTCAATTGATTTCAATTTACTTTCAATTGATTTCAATTTACTTTAAATTGATTTCAATTTACTTTCAATTGATTTCAATTTACTTTCCATTGATTTCAATTTACTTTCAATTGATTTCAATTGATTTCAATTTACTTTTAATTGATTTCAATTTACTTTCAATCTATTTCAAATTGATTTCAATTTACTTTCAATTTACTTTCAAGGGATTTGTTTTTTTTTTCAACCCCAAAAGTTGTTGGGCACAATAGGGTACCATCCAAACATTCATATTATTGAGGAACTGAACCACTCATGAGGTACCCCCTTGAAAAATTGTCTGGATGTTGTTTTTTAATAAGGGTTTTATAAGGCATCAAATTGTTTGGACAACCTTGCAGTTTAAAGCTTTAACACAAATATGGTTTCCTAAAGTAAATGGACCAGCTTTACTCAAAGAAAGGTGGAGAAGGTTTTTGATTTTTTCAACCCCAAAAGTTGTTGGGCACAATAGAGTACCATCCAAACATTCATATTATTGAGTAACTGAGCCACTCATGAGGTACACCCTTGAAAAATTGTTTGGATGTTTTTTTTAATAAGTGTTTAATAATGCATCTAATTATTTGGAAAACCTTGCATTTTAAAGCTTTAACACATATATGGCTTTCTAAAGGAAAGGGATCAAGCTTTACTCAGAGAAAGGTGGAGAAAGGGCTTTGATTTTTTTCAACCCCAAAAAGCTGTTGGGCACAATAGAGTACCATCCAAACATTCATATTATTAAGTAACTGAGCCACTCATGAGGCACCCCCTTGAAAAATTGTTTGGATGTTGTTTTTTAATAAAGGTTTAATAAGGCATCTAATTATTTGGAAAACCTTGCATTTTAAAGCTTTAACACAAATATGGTTTTCTAAGGTAAATGGACCAGCTTTACTCAAAGAAAGGTGGGGACAGGATTTTGATTTTTTTCAACCCCAAAAGTTGTTGGGCACAATAGGGTACCATCCAAACATTCATATTATTAAGTAACTGAGCCACTCATGAGGTACCCCCTTGAAAAATTGTTTGGATGTTGTTTTTTAATAAGGGTTTTTAAGGCATCTAAGTATTTGGAAAACCTTGCATTTTCAAGCTTTAACACAAGTATGTCTTTCTAAAGTAAAGGGATCAGCTTTACTCAAAGAAAGGTGGAGAAAGGGTTTTTGATTGTTTTCAACCCCAAAAGTTGTTGGGCACAATAGAGTACCATCCAAACATTCATATTATTAAGTAACTGAGCCACTCATGAGGCACCCCCTTGAAAAATTGTTTGGATGTTGTTTTTTAATAAAGGTTTAATAAGGCATCCAATTATTTGGAAAACCTTGCATTTTAAAGCTTTAACACAAATATGGTTTTCTAAGGTAAATGGACCAGCTTTACTCAAAGAAAGGTGGGGACAGGATTTTGATTTTTTTCAACCCCAAAAGTTGTTGGGCACAATAGGGTACCATCCAAACATTCATATCATTGAGTAATTGAGCCACTCATGAGGTACCCCCTTGAAAAATTGTCTGGATGTTGTTGTTTTTTTAAATAAGGGTTTAATAAGGCATCAAATTGTTTGGACAACCTTGCAGTTTAAAGCTTTAACACAAATATGGTTTCCTAAAGTAAATGGACCAGCTTTACTCAAAGAAAGGTAGAGAAGGTTTTTGATTTTTTCAACCCCAAAAGTTGTTGGGCACAATAGAGTACCATCCAAACATTCATATTATTGAGTAACTGAGCCACTCATGAGGTACACCCTTGAATAATTGTCTGGATGTTGTGTTTTAATAAGGGTCTAATAATGCATCTAATTATTTGGAAACCTTTCATTTGAAAGCTTTAACTTACAAAACAAACATGAAAAAAACTCAAAAACATGTTTAGTTAATTTAAAAATAAATTCAATAAATAGGAAAAATGAAAAAATACATGAATCTAAAAAACAAAAAAATGGAAAAAACTTGCCACAATAGAGGCCCCCCCTAAACATCATGGAACTGAATAAGGAGGAAAAAAAATGCCACAATAGAGTACCATGCTACTAATCGGGTGCCAACATTATAAGACATAGATATATATATATACATATATATATATATATGTAAATATATATAACACCATATGAAACTCATAAATACTATATACCTTGGTGGATCTTGGTGGGTGGGATGCATTTTTGTATATGTTCATAAGATTTGGATGCTGATCCTGAAGGCTTGGAATGGTTGAAGCCGAAAATTCGGACCGTCCCAGCTGGAATGCCTCCGCCTGAAAGTGGTGCTCGGGAGCGACTTGGAGGTCCGGCAAGCCTTGCGGACCAAGGGCTTCAGGCCCGCGAGAATCAGCCAGCTGATGGCTGAATGCTCGCAGTACCCGCCACGGAGTGCGGCTCAAATGGAGCTGCAGACCGCCCAGGACCAAAAAAAAGCAATCAGTCTGCCTCGAAAGAATTATTTAAATAGCACGAATGATGCACCATCAACTATATATATATATCCTGATTCTATCATAGATTGCTTGAGCAGGTAGGTTGATCACCGATGACCCGATACATTTCCTCGAACAACGACTTGAGAACAGAATTTATCAGGTCTAAAAATGACAACATCCAATATTCATAAATAGACATGATAACGATCGGCCACTCAGGATTGAGACATCGCTTAGTTCAGAAAGATCAATGGATGCAATAGAACAGAAAACATCGGAAAAAAAAGAAAAAGGTTACGCACCTACAGCAATTGGATATACTGTTTATGTAAATATCAACACACACACATATATATATATATTTTATGTGTGTGTATGTTTCTACGATCTAGCTATGCCTATCTGTATAATTCTAGGCCCCTTAAATTGGACCCGCCCTGATCTGATTCACATCGAAGGAGATCGTGACCGGCACCATGCACGAGATCCTGAGAGTCCGGCGGCTGAAGAGGCGAGCGCACAGGGCTGCTCGCCGGTGCCTGACCAACGTGCGGCGGCACCACAGCCCGAGGGCGTGGCCACCAAGGGTGGCCCGCCTCGTGCGCGAGTTACTCGTGCAGCTGGGGGCTTAGGCCGGGGAGTGCAGCTGGGGCCCGGGATGACCACGAGCCACATCAGTTATATAATTATTCGCTATAGGCAACTTTCCATCTTCCATCTAACGACATTTCAAACCATTATACTTAATTATAAGCAATGGCGTGCAACTTCAAGATTGCGCATTCGAAATTCACACTTGGCAAGACCAGTTCATATAAAATGCACGGATCTAGAGATGATGAAGATATAGAGAGAGAGGGAGAGCGTATTAACATCTTCTAATGATACCGGACGATGGAAATTTCCGATCAATAAACTGAATGACCTTGTCGCCCTGCCAAAACGCCCCGCCGCAGGACAACGGCGAACGGCAGTACAGAAGTCGCCGCACAGGCCCCCCTCCCACCGCACGAGCACAAAGCCGTCCGGTGGGAGGGGGGTGACAGGCGCAAAACCAGCAGCGGCAAGCAGGGCGAAAAAAGACGGTGTTGTGGCGAATGTGGGTGTCCCCCGTGAGCAACAGAACTGATGTACAATGTGAGATATCAGAAATATATGGCCCCTACCTTGGGTAATTATTCCAGGGGGGGCATGTCACATCAGGAATAATTGATTTGGAATAAATAGTTTTCGGATCTATTTTTAATTATTCTGCTAAGGGGGTCTGTTCTATCCCAAGATGTTGTATGGAATAATTTGTGTCGACATATCTCTCAAGAATTAGCCATTGATGGGCATATAAACTCGGATGATAAGTTATGATAGATTTTGAACCATAGTTTGAAAAATAGATGACAATATATGACAATAGATGAACGGTGATGACATGTGCATACATGTGCTGTTATGATCTGTTATGTGCTGTTTCATCGCCCGTGATGGAGTGCCAGAAAGAATGTCAGAAGATATCAGAAGATATGCCAGATAGAATGTCAGAAGATATGCCAGATAGAATGTCAGAAGATATGCCAGATAGAGTGCCAGAAAGAATGTCAGAAGATATCAGAAGATATGCCAGATAGAATGTCAGAAGATGTCAGAAGATATGCCAGATAGAAAAGCATAGGGGTCCCAAGGAAATTATTTATCTTGACTAATTTGTCATATGTATTCCACAGGTCACCCACATATGTCAACACACCCAGGAATAATTGGGCATCACCAGGAAACACCCAGGGATTCTTCAAACCATGCGTTGGGTCACCAATGTTCACTCAGGGGCCCATTGGTCTTTGGCTAAGTTACCATAAGTTACCATAAGTTACCCATATGTTTTCCACAGGCCACCCACATATGTCAAACAACCCAGGGAAAATGGGGCATTACCAGGAAGCACCTAGGAATTCTTCAAACCATTGGGTCACCAATGTTCATTCAGTGGGCCCATTGGTCTTTGGCTAAAGTACCCATATTTTAACCACAGGTCACCCACATATGTCAGAACACCCAGGAATAATTAGGCATCACCAGGAAAATCCAGAAAAAAGCCAGGGATTCTTCAAACCATTCATTGGGTCACCAATGTTCACTCAGCGGGATTCAGTGGGTCCATTGGTCTTTGGCTAAGTTACCATAAGTTACCCATATGTCTTCCACAGGTCACCCACATATGTCAAACCACCCAAGGGAAATTGGGCATCACCAGGAAACACCTAGGAATTCTTCAAACCATGCATTGGGTCACCAATGTTCATTCAGTGGGCCCAGTGGTCTTTGGCTAAAGTACTCATATTTTAACCACAGGTCACCCACATATGTCAGAACACCCAGGAATAATTCGGCATCAACAGGAAAATCCCAAAAAAAAACAGGGATTCTTCAAACCATTCATTGGGTCACCAATGTTCACTCAGTGGGTCCATTGGTCTTTGGCTAAGTTACCATAAATTACCCATATGTCTTCCACAGGTCACCCACATAATGTTGGATGGACAAGAGTAAAGCGCGCGCAATAGCTACAAATAATTTTCAGAATCTGATTTTTCAGCCCCTATTGATTTTAAATTAGGCCTTATTGATTTTAAATTACAAACATCAACCTTGGTCCAGAGCATCTGCAATAAATGTGGTTCATTCGCAATAGCTACAAATAATTTTCAGAAAATTCCAAAATTATCAGATTTTCCAATACTAAATTGTAAAGGAACTAATTGAGATTTAGTATGGATGCAGGAAAAAAACAGAACCAGTTACAGTTCAGCTGTATTTTTTCCCTTCTTCCTTAGTGTTTTTAATTGTGGTTGAATGGTTTTTAATTGTGATTGCATGTTTTTCAAAAGCAAAAACAAAGCAAAAACAAAGCAAACCAGGAACGAGCAAAACTTGCAAGATCCCAATAAACTTTTGAGTTTATTTGAAAAGGTTTTCTGACACTAGGTTTCTAGTGGTTTGTGGCAATATAACTTCAATCAACACATGCCAAAAATGTACCAAATATGGAGAGGGGGGGGTTGCCCTAAATTTACCCTAATTATTCCCGATGTCGTGTGACATACTGGAATGTTTTCCCAGAATATGTGCAATGGGGCTGGAATAATATCCAATTATTCCAAGGTATGCTGGCATGGGGGGGGGCTATGGCAGGGATCATAGAAATATCAGAAATATATCAGACATATCACATTCTCTCCAGTGCTTAGTCTTTTGAAGGGGTTAGGTCAACAGGTCAACGATTCATCTTGGGGACACCAAAGGCACGTCTTGGCGGATGTTTCCAACGCTGCAGCGGCGGACCTCGCCCAAGCGGCAACATTGCTTGAAGCTTGGCCGAAGAAAAAAGCGGGTACTAGGAGGATCCAGTAGCTGGAGTCCCAGCAGTTCGTAACAGGTCAGATGTTGTTTGTAGCTGGGGCTATAGTAAGTCGTTGACTGATGGCGATTCCATTGCACCACGGTGAGGATGTTTGCACTTTGGACTGTATTTACCTTAGATATATCCTTTATTTCCCACTGACAAGGGGGTGACACTACCAAGAAAACACACACTTTGGATGAATCCAACGACTAACTTTTCTGGATTTCCTTCTCAATCATGCATAATTTGGATGATCCATTATCCATTTATAGACTTTTATACAATCACCAACAACTTCCATGCTATCACAGCACCCTAGCCAGGAAGGGAACCACGTCGACGTCAACGACCTTCCGGACACCTCGCGTCGCCACGCGGACGTCCAAGTGCTCTACACGCGTGCGGCGGAGAAGGGCGAACGGCGCGCAGCGCTGAGGACGGCGGTGGAACATTTGCAGAGGAATGAGACGGAGAAAGCGACGCTTGGAAAGTTGCAAAGTGTTAGGGTGTATAAACAGGTGAACAGTTGATGTTTTTTTTTGGGAGTATATTGTCTTGGGGAGTATGCAATAAGTCGCTGTTTGTTGGTTGGGCAGCCACTGTAAATTAATAATTGATAATTCAACCAACAATCGTGGTGATTTTGACCAACAATAGTAGTTGACTTTGCGATTTGATCCAAGAATGATGGACAGACCAGCAAATAGGGTTCGGTGCTTGAGGGGCCATGCTGTGTCTGTAGTTTCATAGTTTCCATGACCAGCATTGTTGAAAAAAATGGCGTCATCCCTTTGATTCCACCATCCAGCACATTGTAGCAGGTGGTATATTACGTACAGGATCGAATCAACATGGCCTCATTTGGATTTTTGCATTGTAGTCAATTTCAATGCAAACCGTTGCGACTGGTTGGTGATTGGTGAATGGGCCGTTCCTTTATTCGATATCCTCAGCTCAAGAATGACTTTTAGTATGGGAGTTTAGGGGAGTCTAATTTTAGTTGCCCATGCTCTTATTTGGCACAATCTAGCAAATGATGAACTGATCATTCAAAGTTAAGCAAAACAATGGGGATATTTGCAACGTTCATACATGTTCTATCTATGCTTGTATTTAAAACTTTGATTTGACTCGTGGTGCTTATTTGTTTCTTGCCAATTCTTTGGGAGACAGTTCATTCAATTCATGTGTTCTATATATTCTATGATGAAGCATAGCATAGCGACTGGTCTGTGGTGACATGTGCCCACAGATTCCATAGATCCTTGAACAGAATTACGTCACATCCATTTAAGCATGGATCCACATCGCCACAAATTCAGTGGGGCTTCCCACACTCTCCCCAGGAAACCGCTCCTGGAAAAAGTGTCGCATCAACCTGAAGAAGCTGAAGAACCAATGGCAGCCATGGCCCAGTACTACTTGACGCGCTTCAGCAATGACACCAACAGTTCTGAAGAGGAGCGGAGAGAATTGGCTTGGCCGCACCTGGTGCGTGCTGCCGATTTGGGACGCCAAGATGCTGAAGCCTTGGATTTGCTGGGAAAAAGAATTTTTTTTAATGTTTTTTTGGTATAGAAATCCACCATTTTTTGGGGGAGATGACGGATTTTGTTTGTTATTGTGGCTTAGAGAGTCCATTGATTGTTGTGAAAGCCCTGCTTTGTTCCATCAATGGTCAAACCCAGCCCGGCCTGGGTTTGAAGCCACCAGTGATTTGGGATGAGATCATGAATCATCTCATATTTTCCAGGTCGATCCAAAGTCCAGATTCTCAGATAGATATACCATTATATCACCATATTTGCCTATCTATCATATATTTTTAACCTCATGAGATGTTTTTGGGGCTTTCATTCTGATCTGATCTCATCTGATTTCAGGAACTCCTGGTGGCCCACGCCCATCTAAATCCACCACCAGCCGTGGCCACCAACGGCACCAACGGCCCCAACGGCAGCGACCCCGGCAAGTCCAACAGCACCGAAGCGGCGCGGCGCTACCGACGCCTGGTGGCTGGTGACAGGGCGAACGCCAGCGAGATGCGGAGGAGTGGCAATCTGAGCGAAGTGCAGGCAAGATTCTTTGGGTTAATAGTGGTTAATAGGCTATAGTGGTTAATAGGCTATAATAGTGGTTAATAGACATAAATGAATGGGATTCGGATTGGGTTAATAGTGGTTAATAGGCTATAAACCAACAATGGGAATATGATGGTGATGTGGTTGGTGGTTTCAAACATGGCTTTTATTTTCCATAAATATATGGGATAATTGATCCTTCCCATTGACGAACTCCATCATTTTTCAAGATGGTTATTGCACCACCAACCAGTTGGTCATGACATAAATTAATGTGTGTCTTTCCATGCCAGTGTTTCTTTTTTGCACGTTGACCTGTTGCATCCTTTTAAATGAGAAAAATCTGCGCACCAAAAATTTACTAATTCAAGCAATGTATATAATATAGAGGTTAAAAAGGGTCACTGAACGTTCATATCAAGGTAAGCAAACAAAACTGTCACTGATTCATCCATTCCCCTCCCTTGTGAGGCCTTTGCTGCCTACAACTTGGGCGTTTTGTCCCTCCAGAGCCTCGATGACACGTCCAGCTGTTCCGTGGAAGCGCTGCTCGGCGCGCCTAGTTGCGGGTGGCATATGGTGGCGGCAAGTGAAGGAATGGTGAATATTTACTTAGCAATATGGCGAATCAAGTACCCAAAAAAATATGAACATGTTGATCTTCAAGATGGTAGTCGCATCAGGCCTTCATAAGACAAGACCGAGAGAAGCATAAAACTTGACCCACGAAAATCAGATCAGTCAATGACTGATATCAGTTCCATCAATTTGGAACTGAAGACATGTTTGCAGATATCAGTTATATCAATGATATCAAACATCCAAGGTGCCCCAAACAACCTGTCCATCACCGGGCTTTTCGCCGAGGCAGGAGCTCTTCCAAGACGTGGCGCTGTCGCACGGCCACGTGGTACGCCTGATCCTGGCGCTGGAACGCCGCGCAGCGAGACTGGGAGATGTGCATGGCGCCTTGCTGCTGGCGATGCTCCTGAGTCACTGGCTGGAAAACATGTAGATTTCACACTAAGCAACTGGAAAAACAACTGGAAAAACATGAGAAATTGGAGATGCCACACAGAAACAATTGGAAAATACAGTCGGATTTTTTCCAGCAAGAATGTGCATTGACCCAGCAATGGAGATTTCAACATAGAAATGATGATGGGCCATAGGTCAGGCTTGAGCTGTTTGAAGCTGATGATGGGTCACTATGCGTGAACTTCTCCGATGGTTTTGGGTGGTTAAAGGTTGACCCAGTCATGCTTCCGGTTTGAAGATGGTCTAGATTCTAGACTGATTCTTGGTGGAAATGCGCCAGCAACTTTGATCATTTAAAGATAAGACTAACATATACTGTACAATATAGATATATATATATATGCACATGCATTCAGATGGAGATCCCTGGCTAAAAGAAATTATATCCACTTGCATTATCCCAAAAAGCTTGACCGAATCCGATCCATTTGACACGAGATCCTAACATCCTTGTAATCTATTTCAATAGTTTGTTTAAATCCATTACAATATTATATATATATATATTGTATTTTAATATATATATAATACATGTATATAAATATGTCCCACAGATTCCCCATGTTTTTTTTGGGCAATTGTTGATCCCATCCCATGGAGAGGTGACCTGGGCCACGAGTTGGGCCACCTGGATGCGGCACATCTCTGGGACCGTTCCACCGCGCGGCCGCGGCCGGCGGACGCGGACGCGGACGCGGACGGCGACGACGGAGAGGCGCCGGCGGTGGAACGGATGGGGCGTGAAAGACCTGGATTTGGAGGAAGTGGTTGGTGGGATTTCAAGATGTCAACTCTATTTTTTTGTTTTTTTCGAGATTTTGGGTGGATTCAAGATGTTTCAATTTTTTGTTCTGATAGTTGTTTGATGTGTTTTTGCTATTTTCCATGGCTGGAATGAGAATGATGATGATGGTGATGATTCGTGATGATGGTGATGATGATGATGATGATCCCACTTGATGAATGATAGAAACGATCACCGTGTTTTTTCTCTTAGGACTTTCCAAGGCCTGTTGAAACACATGTTGAAACTTGAAACACATGTTTTGTACAATGAATGACCAGCAAGAAAATCTGTGAACTCCAAGGTAGCAATTCATTGCATCCCTCTTCTTATGTCCCTCTTGCTATACCCAATCCATCCCAATACTGCGGGTGGATCTGCAGGCCGTCCCCGAAGCCTGCGATTTGCATGGCTGGTGGAGCACCAACTCATCCGAGCCACTCAGCTATAGAGAGCTGTGTTCTTGGGTGGTGCAGGTGGGATGTGTGATATGTATTGATATGTCAATCAATATCAATATATATATATGTCATCTACCAACTGCAAAAGGACAAACACTAATTTAGAAATTGCCTGGTTTCGATTTGATTGTTTTGTATGCTCTAGTTTCGGTATGTTTCAGTGACAATCCTTTTCCTGCAATCGAGCTTTACAAAGCTTGGCCCAGGTTGCTCTTGCAAAACGTTTCGAAGCTCTTCGCTTCCAAAGTCCCTGGGCAACGCGGCAACGTGCAACGTAGGGTTGATGGTTGTGGGTCCTGAACGGGGCCATCGATGGGCCCGCCAAACATTGTTTTGGCTCGGATGTCGCTATAGGGTTTGGCAAATCTTAACCAACAAATATGATGAAACACGGAAACTAAATGAAAGAAATTTAAGCCAGAAAATGGGGGTTTGAAGTGACACAGCTCTGGAGACTTCACGAACTATGAGTCTTACTGCAAGGTTACCGCAGGTGGAGTGAGATGGTGAGACATATCATATCCCATTGGGTCCCATCACCAGAAACCATCGAATAATATTGGATTTGTTTGGGTTCTACGTTGTTCTTCCGGGTGTATCCAAGCTCATTGGCTAGACATCTTCCAAGTTGGCAGCGTTAATGCTGCCTGACATTGTTTACAATCCAAAAGTGAATTCAACCATCCACTTCAGTGGCTTGAACATGTTTGAACCCATTTGGCTAGAACTACCATGTTTGTCTTGCGAAAGCATCCAACTTATTGCAGGGTAAACCGGGGAAACCCTCCAAAAATCATCCAAAACTTGCATCAGAACCTTCGTCGCCAAGGTGAAGGGCGGTGGCTTCGAGATGTTCAACGCAAGCGGTTCCGAGGTTGGAGTGGAGGTGGAGGAAGCCATTGTCACCTGGTAGCAATATGGGTGCACCACTTGGTTGGGCGGTTTTTATGGGGTCTCAAGATATGTTTTTTTCTTTTGCTTCTTTTGATCTGAAGGCGACCCCATCCGTTGGTCTATTTTTATCATACCCATAGCCATTCAGTTTTCAGTTTTTTGGGTACCCTTGATAATTTAGGCGACCACATCCTTTGCTCTATGGTTTGTTGCATATCCATGCAGTTGTTTGGGCACCCAATGTTGATACCATCTGGTTATGACTAACATTGCCATGGAAAGATCCACCATTTTTAAGAACGGTATTTATTTCGATTAGGGCCATCATTTTCCATGGCTATGTTAGTCATCACCAGAGGGTATCTCATCATTTAGGTGCTGCCGCGCCCTGAAACGACGGAGTTTCAACACCTGCACTCCTTTTTGTGCCGTGGCGGTAAGCTGGCGCAGTGACGGTGAAGCGCGGGTACGGGTATGGATCAACCATGATCAACCGTTGTTTCCAGCAGTGAATCTCCTACAAATGGAGGTTTTAATAGGACAATCATCTAGAAATGGATGATGTACCATGTGTTGTTACAGATTTCTTCACCAGAAATGGGTTGGCTTGAGCGTTTAGATCCTCGAGATTGCCAAAAATCTTGTCCCCTGTCCTGTATATTGATTTGCAACCATGTGGTGAATATGTGACTGGAATGACCTGTTTGTCTGACATTTGTGGTGGGTTCATCTAGATACTATATCGCGAAACTAACCTTAGGGCCCACTGTGCGGATTAATTATAAATCTCTCCAAATTACCTAAGAAAATGGAGTCACCAAGCAGAAATCAGAGCCATATGATGGCCCAAGACATCCGCCCATGACGTTGGTCAATGCAGGTGGCACACCACCTATGACGCCTTCCCTGCAGCGGCGCCTGTCCCAGTGGCATTGCAACCCCCTGGCGCAGTGCCGCATCTGGTGGAGTTTCACCACCAAAGGGGACGCTTGATCAAAACGCTCAGGGAGGGCTAGATTCAAATGGGGTTTGGGATGGGAAAAATTCAGTGGTATGGCTAAGTGTAAGATCTCAGGAAAGATGGCTTTTGTTCGTTGTTTACAGCGTATCAGTTCCATTTCAATCATTTTCTACCATTTGAGCATTGGTCGAGATTTCACTGGTGAAACCGGGAATTTCTATGCAATTTTTTTCCGCATCCCGATCATCCAAATGATAGGTCGCTGTTCATCGGTGCTGAACCCGGACAGAACTTGGGACAAAAACAGCTGGAGGATTCCGTTTCCTTTTTTTTCCCGGAAAATAATAAGGAACATTATGGAAAGTGATGAAAATGATGATTAATTCACCAGTGGATTTTAGGGGTATCTTCATGCTATGTTCAGAGAAACTCAGTTTGATATTGCTATACCTCGGACAAGGATGAGACACTACTTTTTGGATTCTTTTTTGTCGCTTTCAATCTGAACAGATATGATTGTGCCAGCCTTTCGACAGGGATTGCTCCAAGCCATTGCCATTGGTAAATGATGGCCACCAGTGCCAGGGATGTTCGAGCAAGCCGGAGTTTTCCGACACTGAATCGAGATGACCCAGGTGACCCAGGTGACCCATGTTTTGGAGCAAAACACATCTTCTTCAAACAGACTGGAATTTGGGGTATGGCTTTGGTATGCTTTGATCCAGCTTAATGGGGCGCACCTTGGGTAAAATAACATCGGAAAATGATGCTCCAAACATCTCTGGATTTGGGAGTGCCGAATATGTTTGGGGTTGACCCTGGATGGCCAACAATTGTTGGTACCCCAAAACATACAATATACATAGCCGTTCATATCCCATGTAGAATCGACTAAACATCTCTGTTGTTTCGGTGGAGTTTTTGTTGGGTCATATCTCCCAGCGTTCCCAAGAATCATCCTTAGCGATTGGCGCAGGCATCCTACCGTGGCAGGGTATCCGATAAGTGGTCGTCGCTTCAACATATAGGAACATCTATTGAGTATGGATCGGAACTAAGATCATTGTCCTGCCATGGTCAAAGTGGTGCTTGTACTTCATCTTGTTCCATACATCAAGGGGCAATCACCACCTCTGGTTTTGTGTGTCAGTCTTGGAGACATCCCAAGAGCGTAATTAGGACTGAAAGGCTTTGATAGGCTTTGGCCATGGCAAGAAAGCATGTCGAATTGAGCCATGAATCTCATTCCCCTCTTGATTGGTTAATTTGCTTCATACTCACTGGACATGATAGGTGATTCTGCTTTCTCGTAATTATACAACGGGATAATTGCCCATTTACCAACCAGTGATACTGCTACTTTGCACAGCTTAATTACATAATGTGCGAATGATTTTTGGACGCCCAAGGTTCGTATACCGCATTCTTGTAAGTGTTTAAATCTTCCTTGCATCTTCTCTTGTCGCACTTGGCGCCCAAATCTCGAGAGTCATGAAACGCAATTGGCAACGACTATCGGAGCCAGATAACCCTATTTCACTGCGAGATTTGATTTATATTTCGGCGGGCCCGCTTAGATTTTGCTGCGAGCGGCCTGCCGCGACAGAAGTTCAGCCAAGACTGCAGCTGTGGCTTTGAGGAAAGCTGACCATGGACAAGTCTTGTCAGATTGCCTTGGTGGAGGGCATGTACGTCAACTGGACTTTCCATCGGCTGGATGCTGTTGAAGAGGCTGGGTCAGTCAGATGTTGGCACCGTCAATTTGGATGGGGGGTGACAGGGATGGGAGGGGTTAACCAAGTGAATTGGGAATATACCAGCCAGATGATTTTGAGCAGGCTTCCACTGAATGGGGAAGGGTTGGTTGCATGCTATGCTTTGCACCTGCAAGTCGGACAGTGCTTTATTGAAAAGCTACCTGCAGTAAATAAAGGTTTGACCAGCAAAAACCGGGCTCCGCTTGGCGGCTGCATCATCATGGCGCTAGAGAATGTGCTTGCTTCAGCGTGTTTGACTTAATTGCATCCCTATGTACTTTCAAACAATTGCGTTTAGCAAATATGACATGTTATTGTTATTTGTTCTATTCCACCAGTTCAACCATCCCAATGCATGCATTGATTACATCCTGTGATGCTCTTGATGATGCCGCCCGCAACTACTGGTTGGCAACATCTCCACAATTTGGTTTTTACTGTGATTTTCATTTATACCAGCAACATGGGTGCAGATGATGGGATGTGAAGCTCACGTATGCGTTGATTATGTAATACATTGTAATACCTTTTTTCCTTTTTGCATATCATGTCAAATATTTGCTGTCAAACCCTTAAGACAACCATTGGTTCAAGTGTTCCTTGAACATATTTTCCCCGCAATGAATTGAATAAACCTGGATCCAAATTTGTGGCATGCCAAAGCTAGGAGAAGCCGAGGGATGTGCCCGCTCCGATAGTGACCTGGCCTGGTTATAGCGAGCAGCTTATAAGGTCCGACTCCACTTGGGCGGTGATGGATCCTGTATGTAAAGGTGCGTACAGGTGTTCATTTGAAAAGTCCGTTTTCTAATTTGTACCATCCCCGAAACATGGTTCAGTCTTATAAACATGCCTCCAAGCCACTTGGAGCATGTGTGAATTGCGTGATCACCTGCGTACCACTTTCCCAACGGGCCAACGTCGCAAGGTCGCGAGTTCAGAGGATTTGGTGGAAGAGTCAGTAGAGGCCCAGGGGCCCAGGGACCTTGTTTGTTAATCTTGGCATGACGACGTTCCAAAAATGTGGTGCTTAGGAATGTGCTAAAACATGTATGGAAGCAACTGACTGACAGACTGACACAGTTGTGGACAAAATCCATGCTTTTTACCCCGGGAACACTGCCTGCAATGAAGATTGGCCCATGGTATCGGTATGGGTAACGGTCAGATTTTTTAACCTCCCCATGTTTGAGATTCACCGTTTTGTCCCTTAGCTCATCAACTTCAAAAGGGGCACAAAACCTTGCTGAACTACATTGCTGGGGTATGACTGATGTGATTGGATTCCTGGCTTTTTGTGTTCCATGCGGTCCATATGTTTGTTGGTCACGACTCTAATTTTGCTTTGTCGCATGTGAAATCCGCCTTGTTTGGTTGATTCTGCCAGGTCGCCACACGTGACTGGTTGCATTGCTGGGTTCGACCTGAACGCTACTATGTGGCATTGAAGGCCCGGACCAAACATGTTTGACAGGTCGGATATTCATGTTTCACAACACGTTCTAACATGTTCCAACTTCCACCTTCCTATCCTTCCTAACATCACGTTGATCCAACTGATTGTTTCATTGCGTCTTGTTCTCACCGATGCCCATGTCATCCATGCAGGCTGCGCTTGCAGAAGCGCCCCAAGAACAGCCCGCACCTCCAGGGACATGGGAGGACACACGTGGCCACTGTGGACTTTGTAGCTCATGCCCATGAACCAACCATTCATGAGTTCCAGTTGAACCAACAAAACAAAAACAAAACCTTTTTTCAAAGGCACCGACCTGTGAGTTTTTTTATATATATATATTTATATTTATAATTGTTTATAATAGTAATAATAATTCTACTACTAAGTAATATTAATCATAATAATAATAACAGTATGTATATATACACACATTTCACAGCCGTCAAACATCAGAATTTGGTGCCATGTCCGCATCAGGAGGTGATGTCGTTGACCACCAGCAAGGATTGCCCCTGCTATGGTGGCTTTGCATGTCGCAGAGGTGCAGCGAAATCTGCAGTGAGATTCGCCCTTTTGTGGTGAGATAATGGCCACTTTTTTTTATGGGCATAGTTTTCATACAGTTTTTTTCCAAATTATTGGCGTGCTCCGAAATCCACTGGTCTAAGAGTCGATCATAATGCGTCATTCATGTAAATAACCAATTTCTGGAGAAACACACATATCGTAACCGAAGGAAGTTTAGAAGTCAAACTTCCGACAATATGGACAGATGAAAAAGCAGAGGTGGTAAGAGTCAAGGAAGAGAAGAGAAGAGAAGAAGAAAGAATATCAAAAAGAGAAAGAGTCAGAAGAAAGAAGATCAAGGTGCCCGAAAAGGTCGGAAAGTCGCGAAACACTGTGTTTTTCCAATGATTTGTGGGTCCGGAGGGTCGAAAAGTAGGCTCGCTAAAGCGGCGGGTGCAAAGCCAGCTGGCCAGATGAGAGATGAAAAATTGCACGCTGTTGTGGCGCGAAGCACATTCGCAAGTGCTAAAAAACACTTCACGTTCGGACCACTTTTCGAAGTTGAGATGTCGAAAAAAGTGCACGCCGTTGTGGCGCGAAGCACATTTCCAAGTCAAATGTACAAAACACACCTGAGCTTCGGACCGCTTTTGGAAGTTGAGATGTCGAAAAAGTGCACGCCGTTGTAGCGCGAAGCACATTTCCAAGTAAAAGTGTAAAAAACACCAGGGGTTCGGACCACTTTTGGAAGTTGAGATGTCGAAAAAGTGCACGCCGTTGTGGCGCGAATCACATTTCGATGTCAAAAGTGCAAAAAAACGGACGGGTACGGACCACTTTTGGATGTTCAGATGTGCTTTCGCGTGGCAGGCGCAAAGGCTTGTGCACCTTGATAGGTAGATAGATAGATAGATCGATAGATAGATAGACAGACAGACAGATAGATAGATAGATACATAGATAGGTAGATAGATAGATATATACATAGATAGATAGATAGATGGATGGATAGATAGATAGATAGATAGGTAGATAGATAGATAGATAGATAGATAAATAGATAGATAGATGGATAGATAGATAGGTAGATAGAAAGAACGATAGATAGATAGATAGATGAGAGAGGGATATATATACAGATAGATAGATGGAAAGATAGATAGATAGATAGATAGGTAGATAGATAGATAGATAGATGGAAAGATAGATAGATAGATAGATAGATACATAGATAGGTAGATAGATAGATAGATAGATAATCAGAGAAAAAGAGAAAAAAAGAGAGAAAGAGAGGAGACCTCAAGCACCTTTCAGTCCATCAGTGGCTTCGCTCTGCCATCCGTGATTCACAACAACCAACCTCTCCTCTAGGTTTCCTTTTTTGAAACTTCCGCCACCGCCTTGTGCGGTACTACTGGTATTGGCTACGTACTATATCCCATTGTCTCCCTGTTGCTCTCCATTGGTTCAGTGTTATGTTCCAGATTTCACTGACATCTAGCATTGACCACTGAGTTCACCAGCAACAAAACCTTGAAATACTGAAAAACAAGCACTGAAACAAATGATTGTGGGGATACCAATTAATTTGGGGACCAATGATGTTTATATGGGGTTTTTTTTTGGGGGGATAACAATGCGATTTCCCCAGAAAAAAACATGCTACTCAGGCGACGGAGCCTGCGAGGTCCTGGCCAAGCAGTCGGCCGGAGCCGGAGAGGAGCTGCAGTTGATGGTAAATCATAGCTATATCCACTTGAACCATGATGGGTAAACCCATGATATATTTGGATATATATATATATGGATATATATAAATGGATATATATATATATGGTAGATACACCTTTTGGATCAGAAATGATGGATATTATCAGATGGTTCCTATGGTAAAACATCATAGTCAAATCATAGTTATATCCGAATTATTTGTGGGTAACAGTGACATCGTTTTTGTTTGAGAAATCCTGTTTTTTGATGGTCGAATACAAACGCTAATTTCTGTAGCTGGAATTTAACGCATTCAAAATCAACAATTATTGAATTCACCATGAACATCCATGAACATGTTCGACTTAACCGTCGAAAAAATGCAAGCATGTTTTATGTGTTTGTTTTTATGTAACCATTCAGAATTGGATTTTAACCATCAAACGCCTGGATTTAATTGAGATTGAATGATTCACCATCAAACATTCGGGGTTTAACGACTGCAGGTTGACATTCAGCAACATTGAAGATGAAACAGGAAAAACAGGACTGGTCCCTTGTACAGTATTCAGGGAACCATAATGGGGATTGAACCACGACAAGCATTGACATATATATTTGGGATTGAGCCATCAAAAACTGGGATTTCACCACCAATCCACTTCAAGGTGGTGGATTCCGCAGTGGCCATACAGCCTTTCCAGGAGTTTTCTGCCTGTCAGCCTGGATCCAGCCTCTGCCAAGAGGTCGATGGTTTCAAACGATGATGGCAACTGCCTGAGTTGTAGAGATGAACAAAGATGACATGAATTTCTATTGGATGAGAATGGATGATGGGTGGTGAAACACCAAGTTAATGCATTTTAATATTACCCGAGTCACAGACATGAACAACGATGAAATTAATTTAGTTTTGTTTTTGAAGAGTGGGTTTTTCACCCATCTTATATCATCCCCAATTATAATCACATTTTACTCACGGTTTGAACCTAAATCCATTGGAAGGTCCACTCCCAACTCTGGGCGCACTTCAGCTGCCAGGTCCCTCCAGAGCTGGATCCCCCTCGGAGCAACTGGGCGGCATCGCCGGAGGTTTGCGCCTTCTACTTCTACCGGAGGCGCGGCTGGGTATGGCATAGCACAGCTATTTGATTATGGTATATCGACATATATCGACATATATCGACATATTACAGTGGGTATGGCACTACATAGTTGATATACTGATATACCATGTCATGCAAGTTGTAATAGGATATATATCAACTGTCCAACGCATATCAATCTAGCAGTATCATGTCGAAGTACTGTATGAAAACAACCACATTTAGTTTTCCACCAGCACTTATTCTCTGACCAATATCAGTTTCCCCCAGAGTTTCAAGCCAGCTCTGAAGTGAACCCTGAGGGCAGCAGCGGATGGAAACATTGATGCCATGCATGTGGGGGCGCCCAGTGGACAACAGCCATGCAAGCACAGGCTGCCATAGGTTGTTTTCTTTCACACTCACATCCTGAATTGCGGTGGTGCGTGCTTAATTGCTAGGGTACAGTAGCAGCAACCGATTATAAGTTGACATGTGATGCAAATGGTGCAGTATGCACGCAACTACCGTGGGACAGGGATGACCACCAACCCGCAAGTAATCGCACATGTCATTTCCAATGAAGCCAATGATGAGATGTGTTTGACCATGTTTGATCCATCAAATCATCGCGTTGAAGCCACCCTTTGATTGGATTGTATCCATCCGTAATCACCAGTTCATCCAGCGCCAGTGGATGATTACTGATATTGGATTATCATTGGATTCTCATTGGATTCTCATTTGATTAGTGGATGTTTTTGATCTACATCCATCCCACCACTTGGTCTCTCTTGGTCTCTGAAGCCGCCAGCAGGTCCTGTCGCATGCCTACAGCAACGGCCACCGGGGGGCACCGAAGGATCCAGTGGAGGCGGCCGGAGGGAGGTGTTTGCCAGTGAGATTTTCATAGGACGTGCCCTCCTGGTAAACATAGGAAAATCGATGGAAAGATCCACCATGTTCAATGGCTAAATGCCACTATAAATGAGTCGTGTTCAATAGCCATGTTAAATTACCAGAGGGTATATGCATACATGGAAATCTTAGGATAGATACTTAATAGTGGAAACATGTTGTAGTTTGCCTTTTTCCTTAACGAAATCCACGTGTTGGACCTTGTTGTTTTTTTGCCAGCAATGAGCGGATATAGCTTTTGGGATGTTGCCTTTCTAATTAGAATTATTGAACTTTCTTGACCATATTTTACTTGGCAGGTTCAACTCTCCTGCTCAACTCCACCTGTGTTGTTCATACTCGGGCGATGAAGGCTTCACCCGCGGCTCCATTCCAGCCAACCAAAGAACTTTCTAGCTCAAAAGTCGGAGACTCAACATCATAGCAACACATCGATTTCAGAAACTGGGATTCAGCCAAATTCCTGAGTGGAAAAGACAGCTTTCAACATGTTTTCCCCACCATCCACCAAATAAATCCCCAAAATCCATGAAATCTTTCAGATGTGTTTCAAAACAGGTTCAAGATTTTGTAGTGTTTATATCTCCAAGCCCACTTGGGGGTGCAGTTCCACCAATATGTGGGTTTAAATCGAACAATAGTTGTAGCTGTTTTATAATAATCCCTTCCTCCTATTACTAAACCCCGCCCAAATACTAAAAACTAGTTCACCCCGGGGTGTTATGAGGGTCCGTCCGATTTTTTTTAAATTGCGTTATCTAAAGAAATTTAATTGATTTTGAGATCGGAAAATAGTTTTTATTATTAAGGGTTTAATTTTATTAATAGGGTTCCCTAATAATAAATACCCCCCTAATACAAAAAACTACCTGCCATGTTTATTATTGGGGGGGCGGTTTAGTATTAGGAGGAAGGGATTATATCATATATATATAATGTTATATCCCCGGCTTATGGAGATCAGAATTATAGTTATATCCATTATTACCATAGTTAGACACGTGATTACCCTATTTATAGAGGTCATTACTTGCCCAGTCTCTTCGAGGCCTTCCACTGGAGCGAGCGCGCCATGGCACTGGGAGACCTCCGAGGACACTTCGACGTGGCCTATTCGAAGGAGTTCGGCTTGGGCACTGCCGTGGATGCCGCACCTTGGGTGCGATGTTGGGGGCGGAATGGAGAGATGCTGTTGGGGTAGTGAGTGGGATGATATATGGGTATGTACATATATAACAAACACATATAACGATTAATAACATAAAGTATACAGTAGAACCTGCTTTAACATGGATGATGTAATGAAATATAACATATAATCTATTGTCATCCCACCCCACTTGTGCTGCTCCAGTGCGCCCATGAGAATCACTACCGTTTGTATATTGTTAGCCAACACTGGGTTTTCATGGGACACCAAGGCGCGAGCGAAGCAGATCTACCAGGACATTCTGACCGCGCAGGCCTTTAACCACCGGGATGACATGACCAGATGCTCCGTCTCCATGTGGAATTTAAAACATTCAATATATGTATGAAATATGTTGGAATTATTCCATCTATCTAGGATTCTAGGATATGTTGGAAATTATTCCATATATCTATATAGGTATATCTAGGTGTCTCTACAGTGAGTATATGAAGCTAGACGACATGCTTCCCAACATTGCAAAATAGATCCAATGATGGCAGACAGCATGCATGGAGCATTGGAGAATGACAATCATTGGGGTGTAAGCGGGCGGCGGTGGCAGATGGGAACATAAGTGCTTGGTCGCCTTTTTTTGGCAGCCATGTGACATGGATGATCCAATGTGGGAGTTGAACACCAGTGATCCATTTGGCACACGAAAAAAACTATTGGTTTCATTGCATTCAATTTTTGCCAAATGCTGAGAATGCCTAGCTCAACTTAGGGGTTGCTCTAGGCTTTTTGTTTTGCGTACTTGGTGATGTTCTCAAGCTGTTTTCTTGTCATCCAGTTCTATGCTTCTCGTACATGATGTGTCATGAACACTTGGTAGTTTCAGCCTACCGGCCAATGTCTAACGAATTTTGCAAACTAGCTATGCTGGTTCGATTCGATTCACCCACTTTCCGCAGTCTCAACCACGTGGCTCAGATTAAACTCGCATTGGTAATCTGCACATGTGTTGTTCATTCCATCTCAACCAGTTTGGTTTCAACCCGCTAAGTCCACCTTTCTCATATCGTTCCATTATTTTCAATCCCAGTTTTTGTTGGTTAAAACCCTTGAGCCGTAACCCCCCCATGATTTTTCTCATCGCTTGGAAGGGCTTGGAGAGCGACTCGCTGCTGGGCCAAGCGGCCGCCAGCTTTCTGTCCTTGGCCGCCTCAGGGCGCTACGTGGCCAGCCGTCCCTGGGCAGTGGTCTATCCACCCAAACCTGGGGGGTTAACCGAGAAAAAGGGTGATTTCATCGGATTTTTGTGATCTAACATGATGATTTAACCAAAGGCCATGGGAATCTACAATTGATTTGTGTTGATTTTTGATGGCTAAGTTGGCGCGAAGAATTTCAATTTCACTTTTTGTGATGATTTTGTTCAAGGAACTAATTAGTTAGGGTTTCCCGGTTGCCACCCGCAATCCAGATTCTTTGATGATGAACTTTATGGTAGACATGATTTCTTCCCCAAGTCTGAGCCGCTAGCTGCTCATCATTTTGCAGATATCATTTGATGTGGTTATTGCAACGATCCGGCTGGGTACTCTTGATAAAATCATATAAATCTGTTTTTGTTCATGGAGAGTAAACAACATTTTGGCCCACCGTGAAGTCGCCCCAGGTCTTCTCCATCATTCATCTGACTGGGTCGCATCGGCCGGGTCCGAGCGGACAAAGATTTCGACCTGACCCGACCATTCGTTTTTTGCGCCTGAAAGGTGACCTGGGACGGGAGCGAGGTTCGGATGGTAGTACCCATAGGATCCATGGTGCTGCTATGTATGGTAACATATGGTAACATTTACCATCAATATATACCACCAATGTTAGCATATATACCAGCACCGTGGATCCTATGGGGTATGGGATGGTGCCAAGACAATGTCCCACATCAGCCGATATAGCCACCAGTTGACTCTTGGCAAACTGGGAGTATGTCTTGACCCTCAAGTCTGGAATCGACACATGTTACATGGCCTTGCAAGATAGGCTGAGTACTTGGCCGTGCATTCGGGCACCATCGCGGGATTGTTGCACTTTCTCTCTAATGCTGTTGTCCCACATTTGCAAGATGACTGTTTCCATGGAAGCAGACAAGTTTCCTTTCTGGTTGGTATGGTTCAGAATCCAAAGTTGGTGGACCCATTTGTGAATCAAGTGTCGGACACTGCTTGGGTGGGTCGTCAAGAAGGATTTGAATCTGTGCTGCAGCTTATTTGGTAACTCGAGGAAACCAAATCTACCAAAAGGCATGACTCAATGACAAGTACAAGGCTCAGAAGCCCCAGTTGTCTACGATATGGGAATCGGAATGGGTCTTAAGACCAAGGGGACCACAGATATGATTCGAGTCTATCTTTAGTATCATCTAAGTATTTGACTCATACCCACATCTAGAACATCACTATACAGCACAGTGGACAAAATGAACAGTGTCCAAGGGAACGCACTCAAAAGGTCTGAGCCTGACCATAAATTCTATGATGGAGCATGGATCCAAGCAGCGGCAACGCTTACTTTCAGTAATTTCCTGCATAGATAAATGAAAAATCAGTCTATCGTCCCTTTTTGCTGCCTGATCCAGGATTATGAGAATCCCCAAGAATTTTGGGTAGTATAATCCCTATAATCATAAACCAACACGGTTTTTGAAGATTGCTCAGATGCCATTATCGCTGCAATAGCTATGATGATTTTCAGAGCCCTCGAAAGGGCTCACTCCATGCTGCTCTGTTCGCTGACCATGCTGTAGCCACATGGGTGCCTTACTCAGTCGAATGTCCTGCAACATGCCCAGGAGATGCGGATGCGATTTCGAACTTTTTTGGGGGGGAAGAACGGGGAGATCAGTAAAGAGATGCGCTAGAGTGCCGTATCTAGAAGCTGATCCAAGAATCAGGTGATCCAGAATTTTCAGACACTTGTCAATGGCTTATGGGATTGCTCATACTCTTGGGATTCAAACCAAGTGTTAAGAGAAAGGGTTCCCTTTAACGGTGAGCAATGTCGATTTTCTATCCAATTCTCACAAGATTGCCGATGATAGCAGGCAAACGTCGGTTGGGGAGAGAAATTGTTTGATTTGAATAGTTTGAATCCATTTTGATGAAAATATTTATGTCCTCCGTCCTGAAATATCTAAAGATATGTTTGCCCGTGAAGACTTACCGTAGATGGACGAAACAAAACGATCCCTGGCATCCGAGTTTTTGCCTCCCATCCCCCCAAATTTCAATGCTGTGCTTCGGCTGCATGGTTGGGCCCGCTGCAAACAAGAATCAAGCCCTCAACCGAAGCAATTGTACTCGATCGTGCCCAACACTGAAATTTGGGGTGATAAAATGTATATGCCAACGCATTCGGATAAAAAACCCTGCAGAAAATGACAACATAGAACAATACAAACGAAGAAACATGAAAACGTGGAAGAAAAAACGTCTTCTGAAAACACACCATCGAAAATCAATGGATTTCTGAAGAAGCGTTTGACGTCATTTTGCATGGCCGCACCAGCGCAAAATCAATTTTTTCACCCTTGAATTGAGGTTCAATAATGCCCCGTCCGGATGCACATGATATGTACACATTTGTTTTCCACCCAAAAATGTGGCAGGGCTGCGGCACCCCCCCATTGCATACTAGCATGCGTTTTTTTTGCCCCTGCCCCAAATTTCAACGTTGTGCTTTGGCTGCATGGTTGGGTCCGGTTGACAAAAAATCAAGCCTTGAACCGTTCAACCGAAACAATTGTATCCGGTGATGTCCGACATTGAAATTTGGGGCGGGGCATCGTTCATAATCATAATGTTGGTATCTTCAGGGTGAAATGCTTTGTCCATCTACTGCAGGATTGGTTTTCTAAATTCCCAGTCCGTACCAGGCACATGTGATAAAAAAAACTGCGAGTGCGTTGTTCAGGTGGCATTTTTGGAGCTCTACTGCTTGCCCAGTTGTGTTTACAACCAGGTCACAGCCGCAACTGGGGGGTTAGATGACAAGTGTGGAGCCGAACTGCCAAACAATACAGTAATCAAACAGATTTGGTGATATACTGACAATTTGTTTCATCTGTTTTTTCGTTGTTCAATGAGAGCTGACACCGGTGGCTGGAACAATTTGTATATTATAATGATAAACCGGCCTATGTCTTATTTTGTCGGGTTCTATGATTTTTCCCATGGTTTTCCCACGTTTTCCCCTAATGTGTCAGCCACCTCCGACTTGTACCCACTCCCGGGCCGGCCAGAGGCGCTGTGGAGGATGGTTTGGCCGTGGTTCATGGCAAGGGTGGCGTTGGGGACCTCAGTGATGATCTGCACATGGGCGGGGGTGTTACTTGCATTAAGTGTTGCTTGGTTAATTGATGTTGATGTTACCCTCTGGAAAATAAACATAGACCCTGAAAATAGCATTTTTTTAATGGAAACTAGTCTTCCAACCCCGACAACTGCCAGGGTCTATGTTAATTTACCAGAGGGTAATATATTCTAAATATGTTAATGCAAAACCGAGCCCCATGCCACTTGATCAAAAATTGCCATCCCATCAAAAACCAGTTGAATACAAACACAAACACAGTAAACAATCAAACATGTTGGACAATATTTCATTGACTAGTCATTGTAGTTCTACTATAGTTAGTTCCACCCTCACTGAATAATCACACATCGTGGAAAACGTTGGCGTTTCATCTGAACAACGTCACTGTCGATGTCCGAGGCCAGGCGCCCAAAAGGGGCGTTGGCGTTGTCCAAGGACATTGAACGACGTGTAGTGGAGGTGCAGCCGGGAGAGGTGGATGATGGTGGATTAAGCACCCAGAGATGGGTTCAATGTTAAGTCTGGTTGTTGAAGACTTGGAGGCATTTTTTCTTCGCACAAAATCCCAGAAACGGGAGGAAACAGGGAAATTCGACTCATTTGTCTTGCGCAAAGAATGACTTCCGAACAATGGGAAACCATTCGAATTTTGTTGGGGAATGTCAAAAATTCAATACAACTCCCACATGATCTCACCCATTGTGGGCTTCACCCCTGCTGCATTGTCACTCAATGAGTCACCAATGTTTGTTGCTTCCCAATTTCAGATTAATTTCAGAGTAAGTTTTTTTTTCAACTTACAGGCAAACATACATAGGAAAACCCCACTTTCTGATGTAATATTTTTGGCGTTCTGCGCACAAAGCTCTGCCGCAAACTCCCCACAGGCAGGTGGCAACACGCAAGGCGTTCACTGCTCAGTAGTGTATGTATGGAGAGGCACAACTGGAATATAGTGCGGTAAAGCTCCAGCTATCAGTTCAGTAGGGTCTGTCTACTGACCAGATGTTTGTTGGTTCATTGGTCCAATTAGTACACTATACCCCACCTGGACCAGTTGCCGTAGTTGCGAGTCTCGAGCTAGGATTGAACAAAAGATTCCAGCGCGACAGTGGGTGGAATCAAAAACATTCTTCAATTATACAATGATAATGGATAAACATTATTGATAATGATAATCCCGTACCCAGCTTATTGATAATACATAATACGATATTTTCGTTGTTCAACATTGTTTATGGATAAACATTATTGTCTTGTGGATCAAACCCATGGAGATGAGGTGGCTGGCTTCAGGATATTTACATGCAGGATATCCCGTTTTCAAAAGTAGTGTCTTATGAATGAAGTAAGACCCTGTTGTTTGATGGTGAAGTTTTACTACCAGTTTTACTATCAGGTTTCATGGAGAATGCAAGTTGCAATGTAAGAAAATCAGTTCACTTTCTGTGAACAGTTCAGCTTTCTTTATCACCAACATGTTGAATAACATGTTGAATTGCCCATGCAAAGTAAACTGGGCTCAACAATTTCCAGAGCTAATCCACCAGGGTTCATAAATTTGGTCACCAACTATCAGGCATTGGATACCGCATTCAGATTTTCTACCAATGAGTTTTCAGGAGTTTCCCACTATTCAAACTGACAAAGGAATTACCGTGCTGGGTTTTTGTCGCCATTGTTCAGTAATTAAGTTCACCAATCAATTCTCGTGGTGCGGCTTCGTTAAGTTCACATGGGTGTTTTTCAAGAAACACCAAGAATTACAATTTCCAGAATTCCCACATTTTACAAGAGAAATTGGTGTTAACCAACTATAAACACCACAAAAAATTTGATTTCCACAATGCCAAGAAACGTGTTTTGGAAGCCAAGGTGATGGTAGCATCCCTGTCCTGGCAATCGGCCGATGACCTGGATTTGCACGTGTTGCTACCAGGCGCCACGGGGCGAGGTGAAAAATTGTTCCCATCCCCAAAAACGCCATGGACAAATCGTAAGGGTTGAAGTAGACCAGTTTTTTACTCCAAGCGATTTTTGTGAATTGGATTTATAGATATAGTTATAGATATAGTTATAGATAGGTATATAGATAGTTATAGATAGTTATAGATAGTTATAGATAGTTATAGTCAAACCAGTTAGTTTGCATGGAAACATGCACAAATCTTTCGCAATTCAGCCAGTTGTAGGTGGGCAGGAGATCAGTTATAAGCAGAAGAAGCTGGGATCCATCGAACTGGACGTTGACATGTGTTGGGTGTCCCTAGCTCCTAGCTGCTGGGTGCTGGAAAAGACCTGGAGAAGATGGGTGTAGCAAGTTTTAAGCGGAGTCTAACATGATTGGAGATGGTTCCAATTGGGGTACCCCGGAATTAATGAAATATCATGGGGATAATTTTTGGAATCAGACAACGGTTTTTGCAGCAAATCCCATGATAAATGGGATAAGGTGGTGAACCACGTGGATCAAACATGTTTCCGGCAACATACCCTGATGATCCCTGATTGTTCGGAAACAATGGGTACGCAAATAGAGGTGTCGAACAGATCGTGAGATTATTTCAATTTCTATGATATACTGTACATTCAATTTTCGAGTCATTCACCCCTTGCCTATCAATTCGTTCCCCCCAAGTGATTCAGCTTGTCTTCCCTGAAATTTTAAGGCGTGCAGGGAAGACATAGCAGTGCGAACCTCAAACCCTGGCTGCGGTGTTCTTTTCATCCCAATAGCTTGATCCAGGCAACATGTGGATCCCCTTTGTTGAGGCAAATGCACAGATCGCCCGGTGGAGAACATCGTTTTCGATGATGAGCCGGCGGAAGGGCTTGGTCCTTAACAGCTGGATAGGACCTTTAGGGTGGGTAGCTGTTTGTAATGAAGCGACCCCCTTCAGGGCAACGGAGAACCCGCAAAAATGGGTTTGGAAGAGGATTTTCTGGCTGGACATGTCCATCGAAGGGTGAGATTATTGTGTACGACAGCTTGGGAGCAAACGCAGAGGTTAGACAGCGCAGTGCTTCGGCTGCCAAGGCGCTACAAGATCTTTGTGCAGAATTTCAACTACCATTTGAACACCTTGCCCGAAAATATGCAAGTGGCAAGAATGCAGGAGCGGAATATGTGGATCATATGTGAATCGTATGTGGATCATATGTGGATCCATGCTCTTCAAAAGTGGTTTGTCAGTTCAAGGTCATGCTTCAGGTGCTTGTTTGCAAGGAAGATTGTTTGATAATGTTTGATATCATTATTTTTATCAGATTTGAATATGTTTTTCCACAGGGTCACGTCCTGGCCTCCCGGCAACTGCAGTTCATGGACCTATTTTCTCGGGTTGGACGCCTCTCCGCAGGAAGGCGTGAAAACTTCCAAAGAGGAGAGGGAACTCCGTTTGAGTGCAACCGGCTGAATTTCACGTTGATTTTGGACGGCATTTGGCTAGAAAGTGTCTTTTTTGCATAGGACATACACAGTTTTTCTGTCTTGATGAATTGCAAATGTCCTTTTGGACTCTGGTACACCCTCACATTTGCAAGATCTCCGACCTTCAGGAAATTTGGCTTATTTAGCTCCCATAGCACCTTAAGATCCCGAAGTTAAAGCAACACACCGCAGCCAGCGTCATATGCCAGGTCAGAACCGACCCGTCTTGTTCGACTTGCTGTTGAAGGTGGGATCTTTCGCCAGACAGACCCATATCCCAATTCTCCAGTTGAACTGGGACGGAGATCAGAAGTGCATCTCCCACATAGAAACTGCTAGTTCCCATCCCAATACCTTCGATGCAGCTGGAGCCGTTGATCCCATTGATCTGATGCAGGTGCATGGTGAGAAGAAATTGTTTCAGGGATTGTGCACGCGTGGGCCTCAGAAGAAACTCATCAGTGGAGAAATATTGGGAAATAATGGGATAGGTGGATTGCTGCAGGGTATTTCCGGGATCTGGCTTAAACCAACTACGATTGGGCATTGATTTGATATGATTTGTGAATAACCACAGACATTCTAACCATGTAGAGTGTAGAGGTAGACTGACTCTTGCTGCATTGGACATTGATTCCCACCCAACTATATGTGGATGTACATCTCAATTAGAAAGTGGGTAGTAAGATATATATATATATATTTAAGATCATATGACAGCCCAGATATACCATGTGTTTTTTTGGTTATTCACCACGAACTACTTGGGTCCCGCACCGTTGCTGGTTGCTGAGGCCTACTGGGAAGACCTTGGCATCCAGCGACGTCCAAACCTTAGAGGTTTGTCGCAAAAATTAGGGGTTACCACCGGGGGCACTTCATTTCCTGGCCATTTGAATGTGGAGATGATGTGATGATTTTCTGGATTTTGGGCGCCCATATCTTGAGACTGCCCTAAAGGGCCTTCAGATTTTATGGGTCTGTTAAGGCAACCATATTATAGCAACCGTGGTTTCAGTCGAGGTTTTGGTCATGGAGTTTGATTACGACCCCAGTCAGGATGGGCGATTTGCTGAAGATGTAGCTTGCAGCGAAGTATTTTTCATGGTCAAACTGGCATGTGAGTACTTCTCAGAATGTGAAAGCCTAACAATCCAGCCAATTTAATACAACTTATTCAAGTTGGACATGTTTATTGCCAAAAAACAAGCTGTTTTGTTTGGATCATTTAAGACTTACCCATGTGAGAAGGTTTGCTCTGCATCTTTTGACCGCGCACAGCGGAGGAGCGTATCACGCCCATCTTCGAAGCAACTGCAGCTCCGGAATGTCTGTCCCTTACATCGCTGTGGGGTATGAGTCCTTGAAGCACCATTAATCCTGCCGTGATGCTCGAAACATTTTATGTTTATTGTTCCAAATTGCCATTTTTATCCTACGAATTCATGCGCAATTACAATGGTGATTATCCTAAAATTAGGTGCGTAGGAATCACATTGTGTATGTTGGTGGTTTATGATGTTCACCAACCTACCACCTATTTTCAATCAAGATCCACCAATGCACAGCACGAGCCAACCATGGCACCATGTGGCAGACAGTTTACAAGGCACCACGTATGCGGAGAAGCTGCTGCTTGCAGGCCCTGAGGTGCATCTAGAGCTCACTTTTGAAGTCGGTGATTGTTCCAGTTTAAGCTTCCTAAGGTGGAAGGTTGATGTTGAATCATTGCTTTGGACACATGCACCCAACTTCCTGGACCTCTTCCCATCACTGACGTTGGGATATTTGGGGTAACCTGGTGGTTTTTGATGCTGCAGCTTCGCAGGCACGTGCTTTGCCTCGCACTGGGCTCAGGGATGGGCTGCCACACCAAGAATTTGAGAGTACCATCTGGTTATTTAACATAGCCATGGAAAATGATGATTTTCCCATTAAAACCTCCATTTAAAAGGGATTTCCCATGGCTATGTTAAATGACCAGAGGGTAGTCCTGGGTTTCAAACTGTGCTCCGGTACAATAGGCATTTCACGTTTTACCATTTTTTCGTTGCCCAGTTTTGAACACAAACTGTAAAACTAGGAATCCCCATGAGCGACCGTCCCAAATGGTAAGCGTTTCCAGTACGCTTTCCAATTAATTTTGTTGTCTTACATCCAAAAAAACAAACACTAGATTTTTCGACTGACGAAATGTGACACGAAATTTCCTTTGGGACTTTCGTCCTAGGCCCCGACGCTCGTCCAGCCGCCGTTCCAAAAGCTGCCGGAGCAACGCGGCCAAAACGCTCAGCATCGTCCAAGAGCGGCAAAGGCAGCAAAGGCGAATGGGGCGATGTGGGTGAACCATGGCAGATACCATGACAGATACCATCCATGTGGGTGATTTTTTCTGAAAAAAACTCAAGGATTTGTTGGGGGGTTGGATGAGGAGGGCAAACTAGGACGGATGATGTCAATCTATACAATATATATATATATAAATAGAAAGGTTTCTGATATCTCGATGGGCTGTTGCTGTTGCTTTGTGTTTGATGATATGGTGTTGGAAGTTACGATGTGTAACTACAACTGCTAAGTTCTTCATCTTTATTGCCAGTGAAACCATACGATTGAAGAAAACTACCCTCCCCTTTGCCACAAGCGCTACTTTGGTGGAAAGAAACAATGCCCCCAGTAGCGACGTGTCTCAAAGCTGGAACCACCCCACATAGCCAAGAACACGCCAGGTGCCGACGCGAAACATGCGGCCTTACAGGTGCTGCAACTCGCAACGGCATCAGGGGAAGTTGAGCCTTCAAACAAAGTGATCCAAGATATGATGTTACAGTCCTTCCAACTGGCATAGACCCTGCTTGTTTGGTGGTTTGGAGATTGGAAGGCCACGTACGACTTTAAAATGTGATTCTCTAGGGTCTAGGTTAGTTGAGGGGATGGTACACTTGAACAATGATGGGAGATGTGCATGATGACACCAGATAATGGCATAAATGTCTTGGCTCATGGGTTTCAAAGTTGTCAGATTGAACATTTATTCTCGCAAGCAGATACACTTCCCAATTTTCAAACCCTTATTACCTGCTCCAGAAACTATTCCTTATTTTGAGATTTGCTGTATGGTAAGACATCAGTCCACATCTACCATAGGATTACCCAACACTTGGAGAGGCCAACGACATTTACTGTAAATCTACACGCAAAACCACTGACTTTGGAGATGAGATGATCAAATTCTATCAAATTCACCAGGTATGTGAGTTTTTTCCCGCCAATCCCTCTGGCCCTTTGAGAAAGATAAGACCTTGTTGAATCCAAGCAACATCCAATCACATCATACCACATCCACTTCCCAATCTCTACTTCGTGGTGATGGAGATGTATAAACTACTTCATCTTGGGTTGATATTGTATTCTACAAGATTCTACAATGGTCTACTTACTTTTACCAAACCTTTTCTGTTATCCTCAGTCCATGGCTGGGTACCGCTGGATGGAGGCGATTCGAGGCTCCACCCGTGAAGCACTGGCAACGAAACCGGTGCGCCACCAGAAGGGCAAGAAACATCCGCAAGCACTGACGGCGGGTCAATGCATCCATGGAATGGAAACTGCCCAACATCAGTAGGTTAGGGATTTATTCAGTTTATTGAATTGGTACAATTTATGGAAGTCTCTTGTAAGACTGGGGACCCCAAAATCATCCAAAATGATTCACTTTTGAATGGGAAACCAATGGTTTTGGGACACCCCTAATTTTGAGAAACACCCATGTATGGGCTGTATGGGTCACAATTTCAGAGCTAGACATGCACCTAACTTGTGCTTGATAATTTTGATGAGCATTCCATCTTGTTCTGATCAATTTTACACATGCTCGGTAGCAGGTTGGTATCTTAAACCCGCAAGATGAGTCTAGAAGGATAATTTCATTATGTGAACGTTTTGTGATGGTTACCTGTAGTACATTGGCCAGGCTGATTGAGATTGGGACCAACACAATCAACCCAAACAATAGAAAGAGGAAGCTTAACACGACCAACACATTGTTTCCACAGTGCAGGCATATCATTTTCTGGCACCATTTCCCAGTTCTAAGAGGGAAATTGAAACTTTAAAAGCCAACCCAATGACACCCATATTTTCTGTAACCGTTTCCCTGTTTTCAGGGAAATGTCAAACTGTTCCATGGAAAAACACATCCACACATCCAATGACACCGATATTTTCTTGGTCAAGTCTCATTTTTTTGTTGGTTGAATCCCCTTGAAGCTGTCGATGGACACGGCAGGTGTCTGCCTTGCGCGCCTTGCTGGTGGACCTGGGGACGTCCTGCACCGGGGCGCAAGATGTCAACAATTTTCCACACCCAAAATGGGAAAGCCATGGTGATTGGATTGAAAATTTCGAATAAGGTTTATGTTATGTTTATGCATGTTCCTTTTTATAGATGATGATCCTAAGTGATTTTGTAGAGTTTTGACATTCATGGGATGGATGGAAAATTCTTCACCAAAATAGGCTTGGGCAAATTGGTTGGTGATCCTTTTTTGGATGGGATTTCAGCATAGACCAAAATAGGAACGAAATAGCAACCAAAAATATGTTCCGTAGAAATAGACATAGAGATGACTCAAGATGTGTCCCCATAAGATGGTAATTTCATCAGCAAAGGCAATCCAGCACTAGTTTTAAAGCTGGCCTGTTTGATCAAGTATGTTTTAGGGAAACCAAGGGTGCGGAAGCCCGTGAACCCAACCGAAATGCCGAAGTGCTGAGGTAAGGGCTGCACCGAGAAAAGCGACTTCGTCGAACGCTTGTTGGCACCTCAATGACCACAGCGGCCACCGTGGCCACCGTGGGATGATGATTCAGAACCTAAATCGGTCCATTTTGAAAGGACACCACACCAACATGTCAACATGTTTCAACACAGTTTTTACTTGGCGATACGTGGCGTTTCTTTCACTGGTTTCTCTATTTTTTGAGTGGCTCATGTGGATCTGGAGCAGTGTGTCCGAGATAGCCGGCTGCAACAGTAGAGTCAAAGTTTGCTTGTTGTGGTATGCTGGTCTTCAACTTTCCATGTGGTTGATACATAGCCCGAAGATGCCCCAAGCATTTTCTTCCAGATACAAGTGTTCGCGCTCGTAAGTGCAAGTGTTCCGTGCCATGTGTTTATCAGCAGATGTCTTCGCAAAACCAATGTCAAAGCTGGAGCATCGATTCCACTGGCAGGTTGGACGCGGCTGGTGTCCGGTCGGAATTGTAGCATCTCGGCCAGAACCATGGGTGGATTGGTGCAGATGGGTCGCGTCAACAGTGATTGGAAGGTCCAGCCCTGGTATGTCACACTGAAGTTGATTCATGGCGATGATGGGATCGAGTTGGTCAGAAATTGAATTAAAGGTGGTCACATTAAATAGATCTTTGACATACTTAGAACGAACTGGTTTTATCTAGCAGCTTGTTTCTCCAGTTTGATTCGCTCAGCAAATTATGGCAAAAGGATGCCAAAATATGATTTTGCGATTGGACCAGATCTTGAATTTTTGTGCAGGGATGGAGGTTTTCCAGTAGCAAGGCATAAATCATGACTTGGCCGTCACGCCTTGGGTGTTTGGATTTGGCAAACATAGACTCGTTGTGACGACTTGGTGGACCACTGGTGGATACGAACCCTACTGGACCCACTATTTTGTGTTGAAGTTCCTGGTTTAACATGTGTTAAACTTCAGCATTATTGAGATATTTAATTTTGAGATTATTTTTGGAGAGAGAAAGATGTCTTCGCCATGGTTGCAGCTGCATTATGAAGTCTCTTCTATGAGAACAATGTTTCATCAATTCCTTCTTGTCTTTCTAGGCACCTTGTGAACAGTCCTTGCGCACCAGCTACTGCATCAACTGGTGCATCAGCTGTTCAGCCGGAGTTGTCAACCTGTTGAGGTGGCAAACGTGGCCATGGTCTCAGCATGGTCCAGTGGGATGACTGCGGTTCCCGTTAGTATCCCTTAGTTTCCTTGTGCTCGGATTTTGGCCAGGTTTCAGATGTAGACAAATGGCTGGCAACTTGCGAAGGGGTTACATAATGTTACATATATGGTCTAATTCTGATTGAAAGGACAGCCGATTAAGGCTTTCTGTTGCAATATTCCAGAATCCGAAAGCTGAAAGTCCTTTTTGTCTTGTTGCGATGATTCCGGCCCTTGTCCCCAAGTCCTGGCTCCAGCAGTTGCTTGAAGCATCACGACACTAGCAGTGAAGGTGATTACAGGCGTCACCATGCTGGCATATTTAGCATAATATGCGGGTGACCCGTGAATTGGTTTCGAACAGCTTTTGATCCTCGGAATGGCAGAACAATGCTTGCTGCTGAGAAAGGATTTCATTGCGAGCCTTGATGAGCCATGGGCCTAAGCGTATCTCGCGAGGCTTTTGCCATAGACTTGCCATCAGGCATCAGGGCAGACAGAGAATTTAAATTTGGGTCCAGTTGCTCAGTGAATGGTCGAGTGGTGGCAGTGCCTTATTGTGCTGAGAAGATTCTGGTGGTGGATCCCACATCTCGCGAGGCTTTTGCCATCGACTTGCCATCAGGCATCAGGGCAGACAGAGAGTCGAAATTTGTGTCCAGTTGCTCAGTGAATGGTCGAGTGGTGGCAGTGCCTTGTTATGCTGAGAAGATTCTGGTGGTGGATCCCACATCTCGTGAGGCTTTTGCCATTGACTTGCCATCAGGCATCAGGGCAGACACAGGCAGGAAATTTGTGTCCAGTTGCTCAGTGAATGGTCGAGTGGTGGCAGTGCCTTCTTGTGCTGAGAAGATTCTGGTGGTGGATCCCACATCTCGCGAGGCTTTTGCCATAGACTTGCCATCAGGCATCAGGGCATACAGAGAGTTGAAATTTGTGTCCAGTTGCTCAGTGAATGGTCGAGTGGTGGCAGTGCCTGATTGGGCTGAGAAGATTCTGGTGGTGGATCCCACATCTCGTGAGGCTTTTGCCATTGACTTGCCATCAGGCATCAAGGCAGACACAGGCAGGAAATTTGTGTCCAGTTGCTCAGTGAATGGTCGAGTGGTGGCAGTGCCTTCTTGTGCTGAGAAGATTCTGGTGGTGGATCCCACATCTCGCGAGGCTTTTGCCATACACGTGCCATCAGGCATCAGGGCAGACGTATACTGGAATTTTTTGTCCAGTTGCTCAGTGAATGGTCGACTGGTGGCAGTGCCTCGTGATGCTGAGAAGATTCTGGTGGTGGATCCCACATCTCACGAGGCTTTTGCCATAAACTTGCCATCAGGCATCGGGGACTTGCCATCAGGCATCGGGGACTTGCCATCAGGCATCAGGGTAGACAGAGAGTCAAGATTTGTGTCCAGTTGCTCAGTGAATGGTCGAGTGGTGGCAGTGCTTTACAATGCTGGGAAGATTCTGATGCTCGATTTTAATACGTCCACTTTCCGGCCCTTCAGCCTTGATTTGCACACAAGTGATGTCCACCAGACCCTGCAGTTTGCTGAGCTGGTGGCAGCTATATGTTGAGCTCATGGGTCTACACTGACGACCCAGAACCACCTCAGATGGCACATGCCGATTTTGAAGTCCACGCTGTGATTCAGCCCGGGGATTTGGGAAGATCCGTGAAAATAGCCAGTGTCACCGCCGAGTTGCCAGTTGGCAGGGTTTTGTTCATCGTGTTCAAAGGCACGTCTTACATGTTAGATTTTTTGAACTGGAATTTGGAACACGATCATGAGATTACAGGTGAAGCAGTCCTGTCTTCCATGGATTTGCAGAGTTTCACCTTCGGTGCTCCCATGGTATTTGGGGGCAACTCCCAAAAATTGAGTCGGTTCAAGGATTTTGCAAGAGATCATGCTGTCAACTACATCCTTGCCGATGATCCATGTGCTCGGGCATGGGGTGCGCTAGACTTGCGGCATTTTGTCCAGCAAGCAACCCAGGCTGTGAAGAAGGGACTGAAAGACACATATGGCAGCTGGAAGGGCACGTTGGCATCCACAGTTCTGGAGGCAATGGCAGAAGCACTCTTGGCGAGGCCAGATTTCCTGATGATACAGGATTTTGCCCGGAAGTACGAACATGTCGTTCCTCTGCGGGTATTGAGTGCAAACAGACAACATTTTCGCTGGAAGGAGTTCAACCTGACCCCAGAATGTTTTGAGGACCACTCCATGGAATCTTACGTGAACAATCTGTTTGATGCATTTGACTCCAGTCGACCCGAGTGCCACATTCATCATCAGACTTCCTTGACCGTGAACATTGCCATGCACCATATAGGGTGCGGGGTGAATCTGACAGATAGTTTCAGCCAGAAATGTGGCAGTGGCATGCACTTAATTCGCCATTTTCCTGAAGTTTGCAAGAGCCAAACCAAACAGCCAAAAGAACCCGATGCTATCCGATGCTTGTCATGCTCGGTTTGCGACTTTGAACCCTTTTTGCCGTCCTCATCCTGACGATAATGATGCTGCAGTTCCAATAGACTAAGAACCTTTCAAACAAGTCCAGTATCATCTCATTGCTTTCATGGCCATTATGCGGCTCAAGTGTCCACCAGCTTGATCTGACCAAGGTCAACAGCGCCGTATGGCGGAGAGCAAAGCCTTCACTGGCCCCAGTGCTCAGGGCTTGGGAATTTAGTAGATTTTATGTGTCAAAAAAATGGAGATCTGTAGTACGTATACAGTTTTGAGAGCAGGTTGAGGTTCCAATACAACATCCTCAAACCCTCAGACGTTGGCCATGTTTTTTGATCACGCATAGCTCGAATTTGCTCAACCTGCATGTTTGAATGGCCAGTGTGCCAGAGCCATGGGTTTCTTGTCAGAACTGCTTGGGTCTCACCTTCCAGCAAAATCTTGAAATCACGGCTGGGCTATAACAAGAGGTAACCAGTCTGCAACGAACAAGTCAATGGATTCGTATCGCAAGCATACCCCCTTAGGGCCCTTCGGATGTTCAGCAACCCGTTCCTCTTCAAGGTGGATGCAGATGGTTGGACTCTGGAACTGCAGCAACCACGGGTAGATTGGCTGCACCGGGGCAGCTGGGAGGGTCATGCTACATGGGTCATCCAATCAGACGGTTGTTGGTCCTATAAATTGCAAGGAATCACTATTGTTCTTGTCATATCTTGTCATTTTGTTTAGCATGCAGGTTGGGGCTGTTCGATCCGTCCTCATGGCTGCACAAATCCATCATTGCATTTAGCAGCGTGCGAAATGGGATGATAAACCACACTGCCTCTATGTTTCTTGGGGGTGAAGCTACCAATAAGTATCTTGTCCCTCGCAAACTTTAAATCAAAGATTATATTTTTGAATATGGCCACATCGATTTTGGTACATTTGCAGGGTTGGAAGTTCAAGCGGTTGCCTGTTGTCCATGATTGGGACCCCTTCATGCCGTTCAGTACAACCATGAAAAGTTGGCGGGTGCCTGTTGTTTCAGCGGCTTTCTAGTGTGCCTTTGGGGTGAATAGAGGTTCTGTCTCAATCCTCCATGGAATTACTTGAACCATGTGTTTACTTGCTTTTGTTCGCAGGAGAGTTTTCAAGAGAAATCCGCCCACACCGCTTTGGCGGTGAAGGCGTGCTTATTGGGGGGCAACAGCAACACTAAATGCTCAATGACATTTGTTAATATAGCAGTCGCTATATCAGCTTTAGCTGGGGGGGGGGCCCAAAAACGGTTTCGCACCGAGACCAAAATACGGTGGTGTTTTCGACATTTTTCGAGGATTTTTGGGTGTCTGAGCGCAAGAGGGTATTGAAATGGAATTTTGGGTCATTTTGGTAGCTTTC